GGATCCCCCCCCCCGACATGGAAAAATCAGGGGTGGGACAGTCGCCAGGAGTGGATTTTTGTCTGGAAGGGCTGGGAATGGAGTTTGGTTCTGTTACTCAAAACGAATCCCTGAACTCAGAGCTCATCAAGTCTAAAAGTATGTCTTCCACATGTGCTCCAAGCAGGGAATATGGATATTATAGGAGACAAAGCAATGTAGATCCTGCAAACTTGAACCCTTCCCTCTTCTAGCCTATGCAACACCTCTCTATCATCCTAGTAACGATCACATTTTTCTGTAGAGATTTTGCACTTTATATTAAGAGCCCTTTTCCTTTTTAAATTCAAGCCATTGTGTCTGTGTAGAGGTTAAGAGTATGCGACTCAAGAGCCCTGGGTTCTAGTCCCCACTCAGTCATGGAGTTAACTGGGGTGATGTTGGGCCAGCCACTCACTGTCAGCCCATCCTACCTCACAGGGTTGTTGCTGGAAGGATAAGATTGAGAGGAGAGTTATGTAAGCCACCTCGAGTTTCTTGAAAGGAAAAAGTGGGATATAAACACAATAAATAAATAAATACTAAATAAAAACTTGTACTAATCAAGAGCAACATTTTCAGTAAATCTAGCAAAGTATGTATAGTTTCACTGACTTTGGATACAGCAACTCCATGAGCTATATTCAGGCATTATAAATGGATTTTTCATGTTCCCCTACTTCCAAGCTATAGCACTGATAAGAAAGCATTATAGTGTTTATGAAAACATTATAAATTGCTAAAGAAATAATCAAGGTGTGTTAACAAATGTTGATAAATAGTATCTTGATGATTCCCAAGCTTTAGCTTTCTGGAGTTAATTCATGATCTCAGAAAATGTATGATGTCCTCTTCCAGTGGGAGAACTTGAATAATGGCCATACCAGAATTCTTTTTCTGACATCCTAAACATATCCACTAGGGAGTCCAATGTAATGGTACTTCAAAAATAAACAAACAAGGAATTGCATCTTCAATTGATGATCCACAGGGTGGGATTCTGTTGCCATTGTCTCTTGAGAGTGCTGTCACAGTATACCTGCCTCTGGCATCCAAGTTATGTTTATTGCACATTCCCAAGCAACTGCACCAGTTTATTTACCATAACAACCCATGGATAACAAACATGGGGGTGTTGAGATGATAAAAAGTAATGAACATGCCCCATGGCTTCCATATGCCAGCCCATGTTGTGATAAACAACTCCAATGTAGCAGAATGATAAAGGTATGTGGTGGTAGGATTCCCAGGTGCTAGAATGAACAGAACCATATCAGAGTCCAGGTAAGAAATTCTAATTATGAAAGCTCCTATATTCTAAAAGAAACCCACAAAAACAAACAAACAAAATAAAAACTTTCTCAAAAGGTGGTACCAGCACAGCACAAACAAGCTAGGGTAGAACTTATCTCTTTAATTTGCTAGTATTTAACTTGTATTTAGTTTTTAACTGGTAGCTGTTATTTGCAACACGTGCTTGACATTCAAATATGGCATCCCATACCCACAGCCTCCTGTAATCACAGCCATTCCACAACTTTAGGATTCTGTTCTCTTATTCTGCTCATGTATGTGGTGGGAGGGGAGGGAAGAGAATGGAAACCGCATGACAGTCATTTTTGTAATCTTGCTACTTTTGTATATAGTAACTTGTGAACTGGTCATTAGATAGAGGCCTAACCCAGATTGCACCATTCACATAATGAAAAGAAGTCTGCATTATCTCTCGTAAGAACAAACTGCTACTGTTTTAAATAACACATCAAAACCACCCTAAGACAACTTATTGTGGAGTGTTATGTTAAATTACTGTTTACCATGTGACTTATGTCATCTAAAGGGAAGGTTAATACTGGGTGATAATGAGGATTATCTGAATAATGGGTATTTCTATGCATGTCTTCTGACCCATGTTTCATGCTTCATGGTCCACCTCCTATTAGATTTGTAAGCTGTAAGCTTTATGCCCCATATCAAAAAAAGCATGAACTCAATTCTGCAATATAAAAGGGCTTTTATATAAATGTTGCACAATGTGCGTGTTTTGTTCCAACTGCAACAGCAGGATTTTGACAAGGGGTAAAATGGTAGAAAGGAGCAAAAGAATCATTCGGGAGCAGCAGCAGTCACTAGCTGGACTGTAAGCCCAGAAGGAAGAAAACACAGCGAAAACTTTTGCAAGACATTCTCCATCCAGAGCCTTAAATACACACTGCCCTCAAATGTTCAAGTTTTTACTTACAATCAGGAATGCCCGAATGGGTTTAAAGAATGAGGAGTGAAACCTCGGCTTGACGTGAAAAACTGTAATAATCCATGGGTTTCCACTCAGCTGCTGCCTATTGGAGGCACAGCCAGGATGTTTCCATTGCCAGCCACAGCTGGCATTTACGGATCCTTGCCTTCCATAAGTGACAAAGGAATTTACTCGCACACTGATTCTACTCAACTGGGCTTCTTAGAACATACAAACTGCTTATAATCCAATATAAGGTCCTTAATGGTCTTTGTATGGATGCCCAACAATATATGTTCTCTGGGTGGCTTACAGAATTTTAAAAGAAAAATATTTAAATATAATATCAGAACATTTCTGGACTATATTATACAATTTGTATTTTGCAATATAAATGATGATATCTGATATACAAAAGCAAGCAAATAATTTCCAGGCACTGCCTTTACAATTGGTCCTGATGTAGATCAGCCTTCTAAGCATACTATGTAATAATAATAATAATAATAATAATAATAATAATAATAATAATAATACTTGGGTTGTTAAAGTGGTTTGGGCGGGATAGCTGCACTGAACACACTCAACAAAAACTTTCAACTTGCATTATATTTAAGAATTTTGGTTTGCTTGGGATAGTTTCAGTGGAGTAACATTCTGTTGAATAACAGTGGGAGAATGGGTCTTGCCATCACTTGCGGCTTTCCCAGGGGCACCTGCTTGGCCACTGTGGCAAACAGGACATTAAAGTAGTTAGCCCTTTTTCTAGCTCTTCTTATGTTCTTATGAAATAGTACTTTCATACAGTTTAAACACAGATTCAAAACAATTTTTAAAAGCCTCAGAGCTGCTATTCCACCCGCTTTTTCCCAAAAGGCCAGCAATTGGGGAAAAGATAAAAACAAAACAAAAAAGAAGTTTCTTTTGAGAGAGATGAATGTGAACTCAAATGTGAGCTGAATAAAAAGTGGATTCCCTCTTGCTTTCCCCCAACTACTGCTTTCTATCTTCAGTGACTGACTAGTAGCAGTCTCAAACACTAAAGCATCATTCAGAGGCCAGCCAATAGCAGGTATTTGCCAAGGAGACTAATTGGTCTTTGGTGTTCTGGACACTTTTTGACACTCAACCTGGAAAACCCGTAGCTAGGGTTTTTTAGCCTTCCTGACTTAAAGCAATATTTTCCACATTGCTTTGCCTGCATAGGAATGGGTGCATTTTCCCAAGGATTTGGGGCTCACCCAGTTCAACAAGCCTCCCCCCCCCCCTTCAGCCTCTTCAGTGTCACCATCAGCTGTGAATGGCAAACAGTCTTTCAGAATGGCCTGTTCGCAAGCACTGGCCCAGATCTCAAGAACCCCACAAAAAAATTTCCAAGGAAGTGCAGAACATAGTTTACGTACTGCCTTAAGTTAAAATGCCTTTTTTCACAAAGGCAAATAAATAACCCCACTGTCTCAAATCTTCCTCATTTGATACAGTGTAGTCCTTCTCTAAGGGACTCAGCAGATTTCTGTTCCCTGGAAGTAATTTGTTACATGTTCTCTAATGGGAAGAAAGGAGCAGGGAGAGTTCTCTCCCTTATAATAATAAAGAGTTAGAAAACCTTTGGACATCTACATTGATATTCAGTGCAGACTATTCTGTTCTCTATCAGAGTTGTAACACAATATAACCAAACTTGATATATTCTGATTGGCAACATAAATGAATTTGGAAGAAAAGTTCTCATTTGAAATTCCTTCAAAGGTAAGGTAAGATAAAAATAAAGGATTGGGGCTGAAAATCTATGCAGGCAACTGGGAGAAAGTCCTATTGAACTCAGTTGGCCTTTCTTCCAATAGAGATGCACTGGAATAAACTGCATAAAAGCTTTGCCTGATTTATACTGGATTATCAACAGTAAAGCCTCTTGACCTTCGAAAATTATGTTTTCTAGAGTGAAAAATACAAATAGCCATGTTAAGGTGCAAGGCAACAAAGTATCATTAGCCATAAATACCTGGAAGGGTGGGGTTTCTTAAAAAGAGAGAGAGAGAGAGAGAGAGAGAGAGAGAGAGAGAGAGAGAGAGAGATGAAGGAACATAGAAGAGTAATAAAACTGCCTTGCAGGCCAAAGGAGGCTTGGCTGAGATAATATGCACCCACTAATGGCAGCATACTTTTGAGTGCTGTGGACAAAGTTTGCAGTTCTGCCCAGCAGCTTTGTGTGATGCAATGTTTAAGCTATGATATGGGCAGAGATACAGCTGGGCCACAGAAGTCCCCTTGGCAGCCCTCAAAGTTGCTCTTGCTATTTCGCCAAGGGCTACAGATGTAGAAGATTTTTTAAATTATATTTTTAATAGCAATGTTTGCAAGTACATAATTGAAATTAGTGTTGTTCCATGTTTTGAAGGATGAAAGGAAAGGTCAAAGGAGATCAAATAGAAATGTTATTTATTATTTATTAATTAAAAGCTTTTTCTATCCCATCCCTTACAAATGTCTCGGAAATGGTAGTCTGTCTGCCTGTCTTTCTTCACTGTGCCTCATGGTGAATGTCTGCATGCTCCAAAAGCATATGAACTTCCCAGTGAGGAAGAAGCAGCTTCACATAGTTTCAACTTTAGCCATTTTAAATTAAATGGGTGTCTTGGGACTGATGAAGAAGGGTGGGGAAGAGGCATATATACTATGCATTGTTAAAACAAAACTTTGGGTTTTTTGGTTAGATGATGATTCTGTCAGCACAGCATCAGAGGATGCACCTGAACTTTCAATGGGTAAACAGATAACAGGGACAGGTAAGCAACTGGTTCTTTACTTCTGATTGAGGGTGGCGGGAACTGTTAGGGGAGAAGAGGCTACTAAGTACTTCATGAATTCCATTCCTTGGCCTTCTGCCTTTAGTACTGGCACAGTCTTAATTATTGTACTGGTAATGACTGGAAGTCCCCAGACTCGTACGAGACCTTTTTTCCGATGCTGTGTGGGAGGAGAAGTAGAGGTGATATTCAAGTAATAGGCTTTTCACACTTGCTTCGCAAGGGTGCTTTGGAGGGTGAAGGGAGAAGCTGGAGGAGGCTCAGGATAAATTGCATCCTGGCCTCTCTGGTCAACTTCTCTCCTTGATCACTGGAACATTCCCTTTTTCTCCTCTCTGAGCTGTTTTTCAAACTCAAGAGAGGTAGCCATTGTGGTCCTCTTCAGAGCAGCTGCAAGGGGAAGGAGTCTGAGGCGGAGTGTTTCTAACTTCAGATGTGATTTGTGAGTCTAGTTCCTGAGGTGTTCTGCCAGGGATTAAAGGATTGTTCTCAAAATGGCTAAAACACTAATACGGCTTCCATAATATTTCTGACTATGGAATCTGGAATTGTCAGTGCAAGTTTTCATAATCATGTAACTTCCCTGGGGTACACTTAGTTATGGTCCTTCATTTGGTGAAAACATATCTATAAAATATATTTTCAATACAATATTTCCTGAAAACTGTATTTCCTAACTATTAGGAAGCAAACCCCACTGAACATAGTGAGACTTCTGGAAAAAAAACATGCAGAGAATTGTGCTGTTAGTCACTCCATTATCCAAATGTCAATCCGTTATAGAGCTTTCTCCTTCCTCCAAACCAGAAAAAAAAATAGATAAAAGGGTTTCCACCTTCCATCCCACATATGGCACATTGAATTTAGAAGACTAGCCCTAAACGCTTCAAAGAAGCAACCTGCTCAAAATACATTCCTGTGTCAAAGTAGTATAACAGATAGCTTGTGTAAACTATTTTTGTTCAACTACTGAAATGCATGATAAATCTAATTTACATCTCCTGTTACCTTTGCAGATGGAGGAAAGTATCTTTTTAACTTTAGCTCTTGAATTAATGCAAATATCATTACTTTAAATATTTCTAATTACTTATTTTAGTTTGCAATTTCAGACAGTCCAATATCCTTGGATGAAGCACAGAACCACTTTAGGGTCATCACCATTAATGATACAGGAGCAGGGAAGCACTGGTGTGACAATGAAATCAGAGCTCTGATAAATATATGGTCTGATGAGGAGATACAGCAAATGCTTGAAGGAGCAACAAGAAATAAAGAAATATTTGAGGAGATTGCCAGAAGACTAATGAAAGCTGGAATAGATCGAGACTGGAAACAGTGTCGTACAAAATACAAAAACTTAAAATATGAATACCGTGCACTGCAAAAGGAAAGTGATCAGCTTGGCAATGCAAGGAAGAAAATGAGGTTTTATGATGAAATTGACTGCATTTTACGAAGTCAGCCTCCAGGTATGCATGCTTGTGGAGACTGAAAACTAATTTTCTTTTAGCCAGCAAGGCTACCATGAACAAAAGAAGCTACATATTAAATTTTAAATATAAAATGACATCTGCTTTCTAAGTTAGTGGATGGCACTGAGTTGCTTCTAAATCTTGTAGTTCAATAGACAGTGCATCATATCCCCACAGAAAATCACAAGCCAGAACACCAATAAGCATTCCAGATGCAGTTCTCCTGGGTTATTTAACCATGGTTTGGCAATCCGAAGCAGGTCACAAGATTGCATGCTCCCTCTCCTTCTTTCTTTGCATGAATTCACCACAAGTTTAGCTTTGTCACTAGTCCTGATGTTAATGATGGCTAACATCAGTGCTAATGTTAATATTGGGCTCAGACTCTTAAGTAAGGTCTCAAGAGTTACTGGACTGGTTTTTTTTTTCTTTTTTAGCTAGCCTGCTAAGAAGCCAGTAGCATGCTTAGGAAGGAATGCCCCACCCTTCACAATCACATTGGAAATATAGGCTCCTGACCTCTGAGAAACAGCAGCATCCGGTCCATAGTCTGCCTACTTAATGTTGCCTTTTACCAGTGAAGAGGCAGAGGATGTACAGAGCTGATGGAAAGATGTCCCTTCTCCTGCAGCCAGCATGGGAACCAAGTAGATTAACAGAGGACGAACAGGGACATCTGTTCTTCCCCTACCAGCCCACTGATTCACCAGCATAGCATCATTTGCTGCCTCTGGCTAGCAGGCAAATTGCCAAATACAAATCTGATGGTGGTTTCCTCTTCACCCAAATCTTGCATTATGTATAAATTCTGGCTAGTTCTAAAGGCAGTCAGCTCCAGTGCCAAAGTTAAGCTGTAAGGACTATTAAGTCTGTTCCAACTCTAAAAACATTACAATTGATTTTAATAAGAACATTATGAACAGGTGAAATGGATTTGAAGGAAATTTGATGGGAAACAGGGCAGTGGAAAAATGAATACTAGAGAACAGTGTACAAAGTGAGTGATATCCTGCTTTCCCAGGTTTTTTCCACACTACAAAGAATGTGAGGTGCCTTTTCATTTCAGATGGAAGAATTCTTCTACCCCTTCAATCCTTTAATTCTCTAGCACAGAAAAAGATTGAGGATCATGCTTATTACATGTTGAACTTGGGCCAATAATGTTGTGCACTTTAGCATTAATAGTCCATAAAATAAAAAGCAATATACAAAAAACTTCTTGCTTAGAACTTCAAATAATTTTATGTGAAATAGCAACTTATCTGTATATCTTTTATTAGAATGCAGTCCAACAGTTATTGCTTATACTTATTATTATTATTGCCTTTTAAAAGAGACATTCACAGATGTTATCACAGACATGGTACCCCTGAGGATCAAGAGAAAAGCATCTGAAGAAGGTAAGCATTGTGAGCTGATCTATAAGAGCAAGGAATCAAAGATGAAATCCCTGATGTAGGCACCATTGTCTGTGTTAGGTGCTTAGTGTACCTGGTACCTGAACAGATTCATATTTAGAATGTGAAGCAAGGGTACATCAAGAGATCTATCTTCTGTGTGTCCAGGTTGAAATAAATGCCTATGTACAGGTAAGCTGTTCAGCAAACATACCTGTGTTAGACTGGATATTGAATCACATGGAACCCTCTCCAGGGTAACCCTCGTAACTCCTGCAAAATGAAGAGGCAGGCACACATGCCTGTCACTATTAGTCTTCATAAGCTGTCTGGAACCACCAACTTTCCTAGTGAGAGGAGAATATCTTGTTGCATGCAGATATATATGGAGTGGGACTCTGTACATGTACAAGTAATGTTTGACTGGTCAGAGGCAGTAATTTATAAACCAGGGAACTGTCTGAGCATCATTACAGGCAAACCAAAGAGATTTGCTTGACTTCAGGCCATAAAATGACAGAAACTAACAAGCCCTGCAAAATATACTATATGCAAGTACCTGATAAAATATACAGGGAAAAAGTACTGGGGAGAACCCCAAAACAGCAGAATAAGAATTACCAACATATGCAGATGTAGAATAAGCTAATATAGCCATCTCTGAAATGGCTTTTTCCCACTACAGAGCCCTTACCAGTTGAGTTGAAGAAAAGTGCTTCTGAGAACATAACAGTCCAGTCACAAAGAAGTAAATCCCAAAGCATGCAAGACACCAGTAGAACACAGCTGAATAGTGTCTTCCCTGCTGTGCAACAGGTTGGTTTATTTCATTTATTTTACTAAGAGTTATTATGAAAATGAAAATAAAGGCACTCTCAGATGACAGCAGGAAAAGGACTCACAGCTAGTCAGTAATTCTAACTAAAACAGTATTATTTACCTAGATTTTTATGATGCCATGATTCTTTTTTGTTTTAATAGCATCAAGAAATTGTTCTGCTCTCAAAAAGGGAAACTGTTTCACTTAGGATATAATCCTATACTCATTGACCAGGGAGTAGTACCAGAGCAAGTGGACATGGCAGGGAAAGGTTTCACTCCTCTCTACTATATGATCCTTTTAGTGTTAAAAGTTAATTTTCCCTTTCTCCCACACATACTTTATAGTTGAACTAGTAAGTGCATGTTTAACTCATACACAAATCTTTGCTCTGACACTTACTCTGTTGCACTCAAAGATGCAACTTCTAGCAATGCCATTTAATTTGCAGGCAGATTTCCATGCCATATTTGAGTAACAGCACACTGATTCATGTATTATCCAAAAGGAAAACAAAATTCAGTCTTCTTCAGTTTACACCCAAAAACTTCTTGGCAGCATCCTTAATCACACTTCAGGTAGAATAGGAAACGGGAGCAATCATTCCATTTGCCTTCCAAGGAAAACCAAGTACTCATTTTGTAATTGTTTAGGTCCTGTTCCAGATAAAATTAGGCATGACCAAGTCCTTTAAAAATCAACTGAAGAATGCTAGGATTAGGTCCAAATTCTATTAGTTTCAGCAGGACTTGACATAATGGCTCCGATCCAAAGGTGTCCTTTTGCCAGTAGAACAGACACTATTAGAAGTGATTTCCCCTCTCACTGCATCCCCCCATAGATCCCCTAAATAAACTCTGGAGGTTAGGAGACCCTCTGGAAGAAATTTGTGGGCTGTAGAAGATAGAGCATTGTATTCAAGCATAATTGGTTCTTGGACTTTATACCCCTCATGAAACGTAAGCTCAGGTCTTAATATTGGAATGCCCAGCGTAATTTAGTATTTTAAAATATCCATGTTGCTAAAACATATCTTGTGGAAAAAAAGTCAAAGTTGCAAAGTTGTAGCAGTTTTTCCAAATAGCATGGAAAATCTGCAAATAGCAATATAATGTAGACAATGTTATTTCCAAATGTGAACAGATACATTTTGCAAAAGCATGGGAAATCTTATCTTCTGAAGTTTAACAATGCCAGGAAACAAAAGGTCAAAAAATATCAGAAAGCCAAGGAAACAGCAATTAAAATTTTGCAATAGTGACTGAAGCAAAATTTAAGTGTATTCTTCCCCCTTTTCTATAACAAATCTCAATTCTACTGCTATTAAATTTTACCATACAGATTGGCTGCCAAAACAATCTGATTGGGTAAAAGCAAAATGTGTTCTGAAACTCCCATAACCTGTGGACATCCTATCATTGCCAAAGTATTTATCAAAATGGAGTATCTTTTGGGGAAAAATTAACAAGTGCAAAGATTGTGCCAAGCTTCACATTGCAGAACGTTCTGGGTCAAGGACTCCCGTGACGTTTTTTCCTTTATTGATTAACATGGATTAAGTGTCTGGAGCAAGATTTTAATATCTTTCTTTGTTGGGAATCCTAGTTTTGTAACAGGCTTTATAACTATCCAACTATCTCTCGTGCTTGTAGATAGCAAAATACTCTTTATTTTCTATGTTAGTCTTTAAAATCCAGCGATGGTGTTAATGCCTGAAGAGTAAAAACAGGGTTTAAAAAAAGAAAGAGAAAGATTATAAATTTACCCTTAATACAATTGGCTCCAATAATAGGATTTTTTTGCCGTATAAGGCTGCAGTCCCATATTCACTTACCTGGAAATAAACCCCATTGAACCAAGCAGAATTTACCCCTGAGCAGATATGTATGAAGTTGCAAATCTCATAACTTTGCTAGACAATCCTGGGTGAATAGCATTCCAGGTTCTACTTATTTTCTAAAGCATACATCTCCAGAGTCTTAATTCAGGCTATAGTTCACACAGCAGTACAACTGCATTCTAACAGGGGAATCCATTCTTGCAGAGATATATAAACTAATTCAACAGTTCTGACTGAGCAGGGTGAGGTATTTTCTGCCCATTCCAGTCAGATGAACATTTGTCCAACATGCTATCTGCCCATTCCAGATATACAAATTCTATTAAATTAAATTATTAATTTACAGAATTTCTGATAAGCAGCAAATTTGAATCTATGGGATGTGCATTCCAAATTAAAGCAAAAATAAATTTTCAAAAGACGACTAACCCCATTATCAGAAACAACGCCATTATCCTAATATTAACTATCCAGAGGCATAGTCTGTGGGAGCACAAACATCAAAGGCCTTGTAGCACTTTAAGGCACAAGCCAGTGAAGCTGCCTGTAAGTGCAGTTCATTGTTTGCTAGCTGCAAAGGTGGGAAGAAGGTACTCTGATTTTAGAGTCCCAGTTTCAACCCTGAAGCAGGTTTCTGCAATTGGTGCTGGGACTCCAAAAATATTACAACTTTCTAAATTCTGTTTAGTGGCCATAAGATTGTGCTTCCACCAACACTAACAAATTTATTCTGGCATTAACCTGAACTGATAATTCATCAGATGCATGAAATGTTAATCTCCTGTTGTAAGATCTATATCAGGAATAGTGAGATGCAAACCATTTTGTAAGAAGAAACTGAAATGCAACAAGTACAGACAGTGATGATTAACTTAACAGTGGCCAGTCACAAAAATGTTTTAGGTGATTAACACTGATATCAGTGAAATGGTGAATGAATTAAGATATGTAATGCGATGAACAAACAAACAAAAAATCTTTATTCAAGCCACAGGGGAAAAAAATTGAATCATCGCTGCTCAAGAATGGCTACCTCAAGCTGTCCTAGGAGACTGAAAGATGAAGAAACAAAGGAATATCCACATCAGATGTACCAGACGTTCAGTTAATCAAAAGATTCAATCTATTTCATATGGTTTCAAAATGGTCTTTTAAAAACCATACTAAATTTATTTATTTATTTGGGGTATTTTTAACCCATCCATCACTCTGGGTCTCTGGACGGCTTACAGATGGATGTAATTGCCATTACATCTATGACTGGATTCACAGAAGACAGTTTGCTGCAGTGGCTTATAAACCAGTTTATTTTGTTGTTTGAACCCAGAGCAGAGTTCATCAACCATACATAAGGCACTCTGGCTGGGTTCAGACAACATGACACGCCATTCCTGGCTTATAAGCCACCATGGTTTTTCATGCTATGGGAACCCAGTGTTCTATCATCCAACAGTGTTTTGTGTATGGCAACTGTTAAGGTAATCACCACTGTCTGTATTTTTCTCAAGTCAACTTTCTCCGATATCAAGTCCAGCATCGATTTCCCCTCCCCATGTCCAGCATCAGTTTCCTAATCAAGAGCACAGCATCCTTGAAAGCTTATGCCAGAAAAAGTTTATTTGCCTGTAAAGTGCCTATGGATTTTGCTAATGTTTAATACTATCTGAAAAAAGAGCATCTTCTTTAAAAGGAATCTCCTGATCTTCTAACCTGCAGGCTAACACTTTGATCCTATGCACAGCATACTAGGAAATAAAGCACATGGAGTTCAGTGAGGCCTTGTTTTCAAGGAAATATGTAAGGATCAGGCTGTTGGTCCTATCTCTCGCTCCCTCTCTCCCTCTCCCTCTATTTCTCTGTGTAGATATTTTTAACTAATTGCAAAATAGCACTTTAAGGAGCAATATTTAAATCCCCTCTGCTGACACATGCCCTATTCATTTCAATGACATTTACATACCTGAGAGATTTTTAGGGTAAGGCAACACATAGTCAGATTCTAAGTTATTTCAAAGACACTTTTCAGATAGAGAAATCTATACTAGGCATGCAGAAGAGAATGGTGTTATTCAACTATGCAAAGCAAATCCAAATCTTAGGGCATAATCAAGTAAAATGAAGCACTGTTAAGACACATTAACTGTGATAGGAAAGATTTAAGCATATGCTTAAACAGAATCTGCTATTTTCCAATCATACATCATTAACTGATTTGTATGTGCATATTATATGGGTTAAATCCCACACTGCTATAATGTAAATTTGCTAATGCATTGGGACTTGTCCCTTTCTCCTTCCCCCCGCAGTACCTAAAAATCTACTGTGGAGGGTTTCCCTCATTGCATTCTGCTAATGGAACACCTTGGTAGACAGAAACACACTCTTGGATGCAACCCTGTGTATCCACTATCAGGACTTTAAAAGGCTCAATTCTGGCTGGATGACACCTTAACATTTTACCATGTGGCCTCTTACGGCATAAACTGCGACATTCATTTGCTTCTCAAATCCTGTCGATAAGCCACATCCTGGTTTATTTTCCTGGTACATCAACTGACACGAAGCTGGAATGCCCTAGTTTGGAAGCAATGGGGGCCACTGGTTTTAATGCAAGCCAGAAATAATGTGCCACTGTGGGATCCAAGGCTACCAGTGGCTAATGGCAATTTATCATTGTACATATCAGAGGCAGTATGTCTTTGGCAGGTGCTATTTTATTCTACTTCTAGGCCTGTTATGGGGATCTGGTTGGCTTCCATGGGAATAAAATATTGGAGTAGGTAGGCCTTTGGTCTGATTTGGCATAGCTCTTCTTATGTTCTTATGGTAGAGCAAGGGAGGGTTGCTCATGTGATAGCTGCACAAACCAGGCCATGCCTGTGTCTGAATGCATGGTTTAGAGAAGAAACAGAATTATTAACCACAGTTTAAATTGGCTTATTTCCTAAGCAGTAGTTGACACTAAACACAGTGTGTCTAGGTTGGGGGTTAACAAGTGAATATAGTTAGTTGAAAATGGAAGTCAAAGCAACAGTGCCAGTGGTTAACAGGGGGAAGTATGCAGAAGCCTGATTCTCACTGCCGCTTCTGCATGTAACCTATAAAATTACATGGGAATATAATCTTTATCTAGTTGTGGATGTATATCCTGGACAAACCTCCCAATTTTACCTACATGCTATGGCAAACTGACAACACAGAAGCAGAGCAAGAGGTTAACGGAGAGGATGTGAGAGGCAGGCAGTTATAAAAGGGCAGTCTAGAGGCAGGGACAGCTCTAACTTGTTGTCACTCATACTAAAAATATTAATGAGCGACAACCAAAAAGCAAGTTTCAATAAATTATATTTTTACCATTGCAACATTATTACTTTCTAGATCTCTGGTTAGATGAGACTCAGGTGGCCTAGGCTGCAGTCTAACGCGTACTTTCTGGTGAATAAACCCCATGGAACTCAATATTATGTCTGACATGCAAAGAATTGTACAGGCAATGAAGCAAATCTTAAGGAGAGATGCACAGCACAGTCCTATGCATCTTTACTCAGCAGCAAGTCTAACCAAATTTTATAAGGCTTACTCCCCAGGACTTATTAATAGGACTGAAATAACATTCAGATGTTATTGCCTTTGAATGTGGGTAGACGAAGGGTACTTCAACTACTTTTCGGTGCAAGGCTTAGAGCTAATTGTTCCAAACAGTAACTGTGCTTTCCCAGCCCAGTCCTACTGGTCCACTAGGTAATCAGGAAGGAGGATCCACCCCTTAGGCACGGAGGTTGCAGCTGATCAGATTCAGAATACAAATAGACTTATGCGTCTATTTGCTTATAGGATTGAAACTTTCAATTGCTTACAGGACTGAAACTTTCAGAAGGGGAAAGGCTATGAGGAAAGAGATAATCTGGGCCTGCCTTCTCTCAAACCACTGGCCACGCTGACTGAAGTTGTGGTTCAACACAGCTGGAAGGCACCAGATTGGGAAAGGCTGATCGAAGGCCAGGAGAGCAATACAGTACAAAGTCTAAATCAGTGAAAAGGCTCTAATCTCCTTTCGGTAGTTTGGACTAGAAATCCAGTTATTCCCAAACACTGGCCATGCTGGCTGGTGAAATCCCCCTGCAAACCAACAAACACTTAGGTTCTTCCCAAACGAGGAACTTGCTACAAGTTTGATCAACAGGTGGACATGCATCTTGCCTTCTGCTTCCCTGCAGATGATGATAGGGATGCTGAAATCACCCTGCCTACCATGAAGGCCCTTTTTCACACGTTGTATCCACACGTGAGTGTGTGTGTACACATTTCTGTGGAACCGATGTTCCTGTGAGGATTATGCACATGGATATTTTGTCACATAATGTGCATGCAGCAAGAAGCCCATTATTGGAACAAAGTTTCTGTGTACCTATAGCAAAACAAACACACATGCTGCCTTCACACACCATGGCACTCTTAATCCTCCTATTTCCATAGGGAAAGCATCAGTCGGAGAAATGGACCATGAATACCACATGGGTTCGGGGTTTCCGCAATTTAGCAATTCAGTGGGATGTGTGACAGGCCACATTAGACAACTGTGAATATGGGTCATAAGATCTCAGTGCTGCCTCATTTCATGCCACCATTAGCTGCATTAAAATGTACATATAAACTTTGACCAGGATCAGCCGTGGTCAGCCTGAAGTTTGCTTTAGTATTAGGATCTTCTGCATAGGACTGTCCTTTAAACGTCTGTGCAAAATACAAGTCTCACCCAATCAGTCAACTGAACAAACAAGACCAAAATGCAAAGAAACACCTTTTACTGCAAACCTGTGCATCAGCCTGGCACCCTCCAGATGCCCTAGGCTGCAATTCTGAGCATCCCACAAGCAGCATGGCTGGGTGGGGGAATGCCGAGAATTATAGTCATGCACATGGTACGCCTATCATGAGCAGAGCTGGCTGGAGCCGGGGGTCAGACTAGATGGCCCGGGTGGCTCCTTCCGACTGGCTCTGCTTCTATGTTTCTATAGTCCGAGGAGAGCACCAGACTGGAGAGAGCGAGTATACAGGCTTACTAGGAAGCAGGTTAGATCGGATCCAGAACCAGAATAACGTCGAGAGGACGTCGGTCCTCTGTCCCGTATACCCTATGCACGTTTCCTTGGACCCATCTCCCAAGTTACGACGCGGTTTTCCAGCCTTCATGGGGTCCCTCTTGAAGGGTCCTTCTTGAGGTTTTGACACTCATAGAGCTACCATCGCCCGCGCTTTCCCGCCGACCCCCACCTCCCCAAATCTTACCGGTGCTGCAACCCGACCAGCCCCAGCGTGATCACATGGGGCACGTCCAGCTCCGTGGGCCACAAGCCGGAGGCGATGCAGCCGAAGACGCCGCACTCCTCGCGGATCCCCAGTTCCTCGAATTCCATCGCGCCCGGGCAAACACGTGTTGCGCTCCTGCACCGACACCCGTGGTCGCCGCAGTTCCTCCTGCCGCCGCCTGCGTCGGTCCGGGAAAGAGGAGGTGGCTGGCTCGGCGCGCCGGGGGCGAGTTCCTCTACTGCCCACCCCTCGCCTTCCTCATTTACATACATGCACACACATTTGGGGAGGGGGTGGGGACCGCCTGGTTAAGCCTCCCGGGCAAACAAGGAGCTCGCGCGGCGCCTGGCGCCTTTTGCAGAGCGCGCGGGGGCGAAGGAGCCCGTCCCTTGTCGGGACTACTTGAAGCCCCTTTTGCCGAAACAAAAGTTCGTTCCACCCCACTCACGCCCGACCCCTCGCCCCTTCTTCCCCAGGATGCTGGTACGTGTCTCCCTTCGGAGTTTCTGGGAGGGCCCGAGTGGAAGTTTCCTTGTGGCGAGTGAAAAGCAAAGGGAGCGTGGGGAGCGCAAGCAAGGAGGTGGTCAAGAGGGCACCGGGCGAGGAGCAGCCGTCGCTGGCGATGGGGAATAGGGCCGGGGGCGTGAATTAGGATTGCGAAAGCTGTTTGCCACGAGATGGGGGGGGTTGGCGCTTTTTGCAAACGGGGGGGTGGAGTAAAGTTAAGGGGCCGAGGAAAGAAGAGGGGTGTTCGTGGAAGCCTGCCTCAGATTGGAGGAACCGCAGCAACGGGGCTTGTGTGACCGCCGGAGGCGGGGGAAGGCAGGCTGGGGGGTGGGGGTGGGGGTGGGGGGGACGCGGCCACGAACGGGTGTTTAAGTGGCGCGACCTTTCGGCGAGCGGTGGCTATTGGCGGCAACGCGGCTGCTCTCCACCCCACTTTGCCAGCCCCTTCCGCCGTCCCCCCTTCTTACGCAGCCTCGCCGCGACTCCGGCACCCCGACCGCCGCGCGCTCCTGCTCTCTTGCACCCGCGCAGTCTTGCCCGACCGCCTGCGCCGCGTCCCGCGTCTGCTAACTTCTCTTTGTGCTTTCCAGGCCCCCCGAGCTGTCGCTTCCGTCGCTGCAATGGCCCCCATACGCTCAGGTGAGTGACTCGCGGGAAAGTTAAGCGCCAGGGAAGGAGTTGGCGGCGCCCAAGCGCTCTTCGGCTCGGGTTCCGAGCCCGGGAGGCAAGCAACTAGTGCGTGTTGGATGGCTATCCAAGGCAACCGGGAGGTCGCGCTTTTATTGCTCTCCTTGGGGGTCACCGCTCAGCACTGAAAAGAGTAAGGGCGCAGACCCATAGAATCCCAACCTGCGTACAATAGGTGTGTGGTAATCTGCAGCCATATGTGCAAGCTTTTCCAATGAAACCACCAGTAAGTGGTGTCTACTTCTAGATTTTTCCAATTTAGAAGCTGCTCGTCAGTAATTAACTTTAAATGGCTGAAGACGTGCAAAGATGATGGCACACTCACACAGGGCTGCACCAAAATGGAATTTCAGTAATTCGACAGTGACAATCCAAAAGCAAGCCAATTTTCCCCTAGTCATTTTTCTGTCTAGATTCTTCTCCAAACTTAAGCAACATCCCTTCTCTTAATTCTCCCATTCATAGAACAGGATCTCCATAAATTAAATTCCAAACGGAATGAAACACAAGTCCATTGAGCACTTTTGAGCATACCATATGCGCACGGAGAGGTGATTAGGAAGGTTAGTGAGGAAGCTGAAGGAATGGGCAGGCGTGGGGTGCGAATGTCAGAGGGGAGGACTGAACAATGCTGGGACAGTGTCAAGGAGACAGATGGTGTCCGGGAAGTGGCAGCAGACGCAAGCGGTGGTAGCAGAACATGAGAGCTGTTCTGGATCAGACCAGCATTACAGTTCTCCAGTTTTCTGTTCCCACAGTGGCCAGGTCACCGTCATGGGGTCCCCCAAGCAGGGATTCCTGCAGCCGCACCCTCCTGGCCAAGACCCCGCTGTACATAGGCATGCTTCCCCCTTTCTAAGATCTGCAGTTTCTGGGGTTATTCATCCATGTGGTGACTTGTTAGTTCCCAGCCCCTGAAATACCTTTCTCTGTGCAGAGCAGGGAGACGCACAAAGATCAGGAGAAGACATTCTCCCCTCCCACGCCACACACACACACACAAGATCAGAATCAAACATGTACTTGGGGTACCTAGAGAAGAATCTCTTGTCCAGATTGTTAAGCTTATTAGCAAGTTAATGGACACTTATTTTTTCTCAGTCCCTTACTCTCCTCTTTTTCTGTTCCGAAGGAAAATTGCCCCCAGCCCAAGTATTAGACTTAGAAAAAAAAATCCTTCAAGTTTGATGCCATGCAGAGGGCATTGCAGCATGTACAGGAGAAGGGTTAACCTCTCTCACACAGTTGCCATTCCCCTTGAAAATTGTCCCCCATGTGGCATTTATGAGAAAAGCCTTTGCAGTGGATACTTAGGCTCCACTGCCTAATGACCCTAATGTCGCCATGCCTTCTAATGACCCATGCCTTCTAATGACGCCACCTAATGACGCCATTGATTAAAAGTAGAAAACTAGTCTGACTAACAAAGGGTTGGGCTTTTAACCATTTCTGCTAAAGTCCTATATTTGCAGGCAGTTACTTAAATGGGGGTGGGATTTAAAATAATACGGCATCACTGTAGTCTGAAGTGATACAGTCCACCCATATCATTTTAGGATTCTATCACTTTGTTCTGTATGCAGTAGATCTGGCTTTTCTGAAAGGAAGTACTGGAAAACTATTACTTAAGAAATCTGATGTTCTATTCTACTTCAGTTGCTTCTTTTGGCTTTGAAGCTCTATTAGTAACTGAGATGAAGAGTTAAGATCACTTATATCATTCTTTTTCAAAACTTCTGTATAGGAAAAAAGCAAGCAGGTTTTTTGCTTGTGGTAATTCCACCTGTCTTTTTCACAGTTCAGTATGCTTGTGCTAGAGAAATTGCAAATATTTGTCATTTGCCATTATGTGAGATAAGTAGACGCACATATAATTACCTTATTTGATTATCATCTTGAAGTTTGCACACTTTCCATGTAGGAAATGTATTATTAGCTTTGGACCATTTCACTATTAATGGAATCAGAATATCTACCTTGTTTATTTGTTTATAAAATATAAACATGAAACATGAAAATGTTTAGGTGTGTAGCACCCACTGAATGCTAAGTCTATGTTGCACTGGTGTTTTTCTAATGTCTTGTACTTTAGCAAGCTGTGGGTTTTCCCCTAGTTTGCTGGTATCTCCTTAAGACTTGGAGATAACTTGAGAGGTAACCCAACCCACCCTGTCCATGATGCAAAGTTGAATGTGCAGCAATTCTACTCTGCACAATTATACCCTGTGCACTCATACAACAAGAACTGAGCAATATATTGTATTTGGCATACAATTCCCATGATCCTTCATTGGCCATGCTAGCTAGGAGGGATGTAAAGTATAGGCCAGAACATCTGGAGGGCCATAAGTTGTCCTCCTCTGCTTAACCACTGCATACCCTTTGGGAGAACTAGGGAGAGTCCAGTGTTTTAAATTGAACCTCAACAAAATAGGAACCTACGTAATGCTGAAATTATATCTTAAATTCTCCCTGAACACTTGTGTAACTGTATTTTGGAGTAATTGCTGTTTCCCAACTGCCTTCAAAGCCAGTCCCATTATGTATTAATATTCAGTGGAATTATTCTATAAATAAGATTGACTAAATCTTGTTTCATACAATATCCTTGTAGCCTGTTGGTACTATTTCCCCCTTTTCAGTATAGTAGAACTTAAAACTCTTGTTGCAGCTAATCTTGACACAAGTACATTTGCTGAATGGGGACCTTTGGTATCTGCTTTCATTTCCCAGAGTTAAAAGCTGAAGCCCAAGTTATAGATAAATGGAGGCAGCAATCCTATACACAGTTACCTGGGAGTGAGATCAATTGAATATAGTGGAACTTTATGAGAAAGCATTTGTGACATTTTGTTTAATGCTTGTTCCAATTAAAACTGCTAAATTCCACAAATACATGTACATCTCTTCTCTCTTGCAAAAGTTTCTTGGAAAATGCAACAGCTTACCTAGTCTTTTCATTCATCTTCAGAACTTAAACTAGGCAAAAAAATAAATGAGGGAAAAACAAAAGAGGTTTACGACTTGCCAAATCTACCAGGATGTGTTCTGCTTCAATCAAAAGACCAGATAACTGCTGGAAATGCAGCTAGAAAGGATCGTATGGAAGGGAAAGCTGCAATCTCAAATACAACAACAAGTTGTGTGTTTCAGTTACTTCAGGAAGCTGGTAAGTAATGGGAATTGTGGAGTTGTATTGAAGAGCATGACAACTTAACAGGCAGATGGTTTCATGAATTAAAGCCTCAAAAACGTGAACCTAATTTTTTGCTAGTTGAAAATCACTGCTGTAACTTTGCTGTTTTAGTGTGGTGAAATTTTTGCCCCTCAGGAGGGGCAATTGGTGGTTCTCCAGATCTGCAGCTGCTTCGATTCCTCTCCATTAGCTGTGGTAGCTAGAGCTGATGGGAGCTGTAAGCCGAAACAACTGGAGGGCCGCAAGTTACCCATGCCTCCATCTAGCAAAATAAGGCATCTAGAATGTGTTAAGTAATGATTTTACCACTTGGGGTGACTGTCAAGGTCACAAGGCCAACATTTCTAGTTACCCAGGTAAAAGAATAATAAAGTTAGTCAGGCATTAGAGACAATTAAATGCAATACTTAGTATGTTTTCTAGTAGCACTGATGAGACTTCAAGACCATGCTGGAAACTTGAGGATTAGGATTAGCATGTTCTTATACCTTACTTCTGGTCAAATGAATTGAAAAAGTTAAAACACAGAGAATTGTTTGGTTTGAAATGATTGGGCTTTCCAGAATCATGATTCTGGCTTAGCATTTATATGGTGTAATATTTTGGGTATATTTCAGGCATTTAAAGCATATCATACATGTTGATCCTTACAACAGCCCTAGGAGGTAGGCCAGGGGAAACAAAGAGCACTATTCACTATTTCTGAATAGTGCTTTAAGGCCACCTAGTGAGAGTATGACTGAGGTGAGATTTGAACGAGGGACTGACTTCCTGGGTCTGTGAAAAAAAATTTTTGTCTTTGCCTGTGTGTGTGTTTGCTTTGTTTATTCTGTGACATTCTCAACATTCCAAGCCTTTTTCTGTATTTATTGGATATCAGTTTTCTTATATTATGAACTTAGCTTCATGAAGGTCAAGCAGTATGCCTTATCGGCTATTTAGATTATCCAAAATGCAGTATTCCCAAATTTGCTGTTGAATCAGGATTGAGCTCCTCAAACTTACTACATATCAGTATATTATGAAGAACATTCTGCCTTGATTAAACCTTATGGTCTTAGTTGGAGACATTTTCCTCTCCAACCTTTTCTTTCTGATTTCCTAGTGTAAATTTCCCACATCCTGTTCAATTGTATGAATATTTTTAACAATACTGGTGTTCATTCATTTCATTAACCAGTGTGGTGTAGTGGTTAAGAGCCTGGGACTGGGACTCAGACAATCTGGGTTCTAGTCCCCGCACAGCCATGGAGCCAACTGGGTGACTTTGGGCCAGTCACAGACTCTCAGCCCAACCTACCTCACAGGGTTGTTGTTGTGGAAATAAGATGGAGGAGGAGGTGTAAGCTGCCTTGAGCCCTTTGTAGGAAAAAGGCAGAATATACATTGAAAAATAAATAAGATTCCTAATATCTCCTTACTCTCCCTGTTCCCCAGTGTTAGATTCAGCACTAACAGAGAACAATCTAAATAAAAATATGGAAGAGAGGAAGGAAATATATGAAGGGGGAGGGGTGGAAAAATACAGGTAGGTTTGCTGCAGTGCTGTTTCATCAGTGGAACCAGGGAGGATAATTTCAAAACTAGGCTTCATATTAAAGCCATACATGAATCTCATGTTTAGATTTCCCTACAAACAGCATAAGAAAAGCCATACTGGATCAGACCAAAAGGCCATCCAGTCCAACATTCAGTACACACAGTGACAAGCCAGCTGGTTGAGGATCCCTCAAGCAGGATGGGTGCAAGAACTCCACTCGCCCAGCTCCTCAGCAACTGGTGCATGCAGGCCTGCCACCTCTGGTAAAGGAGGTGGCACAAGCCAGCAAGGATAGTAGCCACTGAGAGCTTCCTCTCTCATGGATCTGTCCAATACCTTTTAAAAGCCATTTAGGTTGGTGACTGTCACCGCTTCCTGTGACAGAAAATTCCAGAAGGAAGTATAATCTTTCCTAAGCTTTCCACCAATCAGCTTCATGGGATGACCCTGGATTTGAGTGGTATGGGAGAAGTAGAAAAATGTCTGTCCCTCTATTTTTTCTTCACTTTGCCTTGTTTTATATACCTCTGCCATGTCTCCCCTTACTCATCTGTTTTCTAAGCTAAACAGTCCAGTTGTTGTAGCCACTCCTCATAGGGAAGCCGCTCCAGCCCCCTAATCATTCTCATGCCCTCCTCTGTGCTATTTCCAGCTCAATAATGTCCTTTTTCATGCAAGGCAACCAGAATTGAACACAATATTCTAAGTGTGGTCATAGTAATGACCACACTTACACATTTTTGTTAAGGAGCTGCTGCAAATTACTTTCCCAAGAGCACCGTTCAACGTGGCTTCCCATACATACTCTGCAAACTGGCAGGTTTATGTGCATCCAGCTGCCTGTGGAGGCAGGGATTGCCTCCAAACCTCTCGTGCTCTGGACCTCCTCCAGCGTTTGCTGCAGAGTCGCACATATGACTTTGGAGTGACAGGTGGCACAGAAGTGCACTCACCATTAGGGTGGAGGGAGCATGCTCAGAAGTCAGAGCCCCAGCTCCAAATTCAGAGTGCTTTCCCAAGCTTGGAGCTGGGCTCTGGATTTTCCTATGCCTGCCCCCAGACTATGCCTGGTGGTTATGGGATTGTACCCTTCTATTTACTGCTTATCTCCACTGTTTAACCCCCAAATGGCAGTATTTTCCTGGGTGATTTTGCTTATGATTTTTGTGTAAGCCCAAATTGCTGTGTTTGCTTCTATTTGCATTCAAAGGAAACAGATTATACTTAATGTTCCTAACCGTAAAGTCAGAGATGTATTTAAGTCATGAGACTAAAATGTTTTTACTTCCCAGGAATCAAAACTGCTTTTATGAGAAAGCATAGTGACACTGCATTTATAGCTGCTCACTGTGAAATGATTCCGATTGAATGGGTTTGTAGAAGAATTGCTACGGGCTCTTTCCTAAAAAGAAATCCTGGTGTTGAGGAAGGCTACAGATTCTATCCTCCTAAAATTGAGATGTTTTATAAGGTGAGCAATGAAGTGGTGTTTCAACTGTAATTTTTGCACTTGGGTAAAATGAAGCATCCTGAGAATAACCACCCAAAGAAAGTTATCCTCTGGAGTGTGGTGTTTAGCGAGAAGTTTCTGCTTGACTAAAGAGGGAGAGGCATGCATATAAATATGTTATTGATAACTCTGTAGGGGTCTGCTTCAGCTCTGGGCCTGTATAGCAATGAATAAATAAATGCATTATTTTGAACATAGCGTAATGCTAACATGCTACAGTGGCTTTCACTGTTAGTGGTCCAAATTATTTTTTAGGGGAAAAAAGATAGGATTTGGTTTAACTTGCTGATACTTTCAATTGAAAATGGAGTTCTGGAACCAGGAACTTTAGTGGCCTTGTTTTCCCTGGAAGCTTTTGGGGCTCTTCCTTCCTTAAGCAGATGGAAATTCTTCTAAAGAATCTAATTGTTGAATAGGCAAATTATAGTTGGAAGGTTTGAGAGATGACCGTACAACAGAAAATGATCTAACACAAGTTTCCAAATCTGTATTGGATATTCTGCTCTACAGTATACAGATCACCTCCCACATTTATCAAATTAACCATTTTAAAGCTGTGGCATTTAAGTTCCTTGGTCACAAGACATTCCAAGTATTATCAAGAAATTAAAAGCTTCTAAAGAAGCTCTTAGGAGAGCTTTGCAAATACCCTGAGCTGATAGAAAAACAAGGGGGTCTTAGATCAAATCATGCCAGAGCTTTCCCTGGAAGCAAAAATGACAAAACTGAGGTTGTCATATTTTGGGCACATCATGAGAAGGCAGGACTCACTGGAGAAGACAATAATGCCAGGGAAAGACAAAGGTAAAAGAAGAATGGGAAGACTGAATGTCAGATGGATTGAATCCATAAGGGAAGCCACTTTATCCTTGAACTTGGAACAGTGGAACTAGGCTGTTCTGGATAGGACATATCGGATGGCTTTCATTCATGGAGCTGCCATGAATTGGAGACAGCTTGATGGCATATAACAACAGCAAACAGAAGTCATTTCAAATAGTTTGTTACCATGCATTCTCAGGAAGCACATACCCTTTCAAACAAGGATGCAGACTCAAGAGCTGTCTTGTCTGACTCAGAAATCAGAATCGTAGTCAAACATAAAGAATCTGTAACAGGAATTGTTTGATCAAGATATCAGAGACCATCCTAGGTTTTTGGGAAGCAACAAAATTGAGGACAGATATTCCTCAAGTTTAATTTGAGACAGTATAAGAAAATAGCAGCTGAACTGTAGACTTTCCAGGGATGGGTAGAAGGAGGGGTTCAGGGAAGAGCTAGAGGGAGAGGGGCTTTTTCAAATACAGTATATCACAGAAGTGAGTACACCCCTCACATTTTGTAAATATTTTATTACATCTTTTCATGTGACAACCCTGAAGAAATGACGCTTTGCTACAATGTAAAGTAGTGAGTATACAGCTTGTGTAACAGTGTAAATTTGCTATCCCCTCAAAATAACTCAAGACACAGCCATTAATGTCTAAACCGCTGGCAACAAAAGTGAGTACACCCCTAAGTGAAACTGTCCAAATTGGGCATTATTAGCCATTTTCCCTCCCCGGTGTCATGTGACTCGTTAGTATTACAAGGTCTCAGGTGTGAATGGGGAGCAGGTGTGTTAAATTTGGTGTTATCGCTCTCATTCTCTCATACTGGTCAGTGGAAGTTCAACATGGCACCTCATGGCAAAAAACTCTGAGGATCTGAAAAAAATAATTGTTGCTCTACATAAAGATGGCCTAGGCTATAAGAAGGTTGCCAAGACCCTGAAACTGAGCTGCAGCACGGTGGCCAAGACCTTACAGCAGTTTAACAGGACAGGTTCCACTCAGAACAGGCCTCGCCATGGTTGACCAAAGAAGTTGAGTGCACATGCTCAGCGTCATATCCAGAGGTTGGCTTTGGGAAATAGATGTATGAGTGCTGCCAGCATTGCTGCAGAGGTTGAAGGGGTGGTGGGTCAGCCTGTCAGTGCTCAGACCATACGCCGCACACTGCATCAAATTGGTCTGCAGGGCTGTCATCCCAAAAGGAAGCCTCTTCTAAAGATGATGCACAAGAAAGCCCGCAAACAGTTTGCTGAAGACAAGCAGACTAAGGACATGGATTAGTGGAACCATGTCCTGTGGTCTGATGAGACCAAGATAAACTTATTTGGTTCCGATGGTGTCAAGCGTGTGTAGCGACAGCCAGGTGAGGAGTACAAGGACAAGTGTGTCTTGCCTACAGACAAGCATGGTGGTGGGTGTGTCATGGTCCGGGGCTGCATGAGTGCTGCCGGCACTGGGGAGCTACAATTCATTGAGGGAACCACGAATGCCAACATGTACTGTGACATACTGAAGCAGAGCATGATCCCCTCCCTTCGGAAACTAAGTCACAGGGCAGTATTCCAACATGATAACGACCCCAAACACACCTCCAAGACGGCCACTGCCTTGCTAAAGAAGCTGAGGGCAAAGGTGATGGACTGGCCAAGCATGTCTCCAGACCTAAACCCTATCGAGCATCTGTGGGGCATCCTGAAACAGAAGGTGGAGGAGCGCAAGGTTTCTAACATCCACCAGCTCCGTGATGTCATGGAGGAGTGGAAGAGGACTCCAGTGGCAACCTGTGGAGCTCTGGTGAACTCCATGCCCAAGAGGGTTAAGGCAGTGCTGGAAAATAATGGTGGCCACACAAATATTGACACTTTGGGCCCAATTTGGACAGTTTCACTTAGGGGTGTACTCACTTTTGTTGCCAGCGGTTTAGACATCAATGGCTGTGTCTTGAGTTATTTTGAGGGGACAGCAAATTTACACTGTTATTATACTCACTATTTACATTGTAGCAAAGTGTCATTTCTTCAGGGTTGTCACATGAAAAGATATAATAAAATATTACAAAATGTGAGGGGTGTACTCACTTCTGTGATACACTGTAGGTTGAAAAGCAGTTGCAGGAAAAAAAATCCTTCTGTTCTCCTTTGACAAACACTTGGAAAGGGTGTGGGAATCCAAGCCATCAGGGGGTTCTAAAAAGTTGAACATAGAGGTTTTCCTGGGCTATGGTAAGGATGTTGCATTCACATAAAAGGCTAGAGCATTGTCTGCAAAACCAATAAAGAACAAAACAATAGAGGGCTTCAGAAGGTAGAGGGAAAAAGGATTGCCAAATAATTTTGGCACTCTAGGACAAATACAGACTTAAGTGACAAAAGACAATAGAGTGAGATAGTGCCAGATGATTTCTGGATGCATGCAAATAAATGATCAATGATATAAGACAGGAATCTGGATTTGTAATGGGTTTGTGGTACTTCTTGGAAATCTATTGATAATCTCTGGCCTCATTATAGATAATTAATAGAGTGGTGCTCTAGGGCATTAATTAAAACCATAGGAAGGTAGGGGTATTTATCTCGGCAGGTTCTCCATTAGCCTATAGTAGGAGGGGCCACTCCATTGCTCATATCAAAAGAAGTTTATGGAAGGAATTGATCTGGTTAGATGGGTTTCCTCTAACTCAACTTTCACAGGAAAAATGGAATTTTTGGGGCAAAGGCACCTGAGAGAAAAGCATGAAATGGCAATGGAACTTTGCTTTCTGGAAATACCTTATCACAGTTTTTAGTCTTATTAATATTAAAATTATATTTAAAACATTCTCTGAAAGCAATCTTGAATCTCTGACTTACATATATGGTAAGAAAGCTGTTTTTTATTTTCTTAGGTATGTTGTATTATTTTCTTTTGTCATTTTTTATTCTTTTGCTTTGGCTTACAGGTCCACAATTGCTGGTAGAGTAGGCATCATGTAATTTAAAAAATTATCTATTCTATAGTTAACTTTTAAAATGTACTTTTCCATTCACTTTGAAAATTTCAACTGAATGCCATGTGAAAATATAAATTATTCTGATTAAAATATTGCTGCTTGTTTCCTAGGATGATGCAGCAAATGACCCACAATGGTCAGAAGAGCAACTCATTGAAGTTAAGTTCCAATTTGCTGGTCTTGAAATTGGACGAACTGAAGTGGATATTATGGCCCAATCCACTCGAGCAATTTTTGAAATACTTGAAAAAGCATGGCAACCCCTGAACTGTACTTTAGTGGACTTGAAGGTATACAGACTTAGGACTGCTCAGTTTTGAACTGAACAATAAAAGTGGCAGCTTGGAGTAATTTTTTTTGTGGCCTTTTAGGTTGAATTTGGTGTTAATATAGCTACAAAAGAGATTGTTCTTGCTGATGTCATTGATAATGATTCTTGGAGGCTGTGGCCAGCTGGAGACAGAAAACAGCAGAAAGATAAACAGGTAATTATCTGCCCTTTGAAGCTTTTTATCAGTGCTAAGGGTTGGCAAATATTGCAGCTTTTCAGAGGGGTGGTTGACTAACTCAGCTCTAGCTTCCTCTCTTTTCTGCTACTGCATTGCAGACTCTCCTGGCCAGCTTCACAGCCTGGAGCCTTCTTCTGTTGAGGGGAGATGGTTCTTTTTAAAAAAATAAATAAAGTGGTATAGAAATGTTAATAATGAAAAGCACAAAATGCTTATCAGTTGTCCTTTTACTTATGCCACTATTTTGCAGTTGGAATTTGTTAGTGGATCTTGGGGTTCTAGTAAAAAAACCAAATGTAGGTGCCACAGGCCAGAAGTCTGCAGATTCCATTTTAGAGCACGTTTGGTGCTGTTACTTGGCCTTTTGGCCTTACCAGCCACATTTTTCTTGATGCTGTCAGCTCATTTTCAGTGAGCTCTTTGTGGGCCTGAACAGACGGATTTCATAATTCTTCTAGCCACGGGTCTATCTTTCATGTCACATGTCTCAGAAGCTAAGCTGTGCAACCTACAGCTTAGCTTCTGAGAAATAAGAGGAATATGGGGAACATCAAAACAGGATTATTAAGCTGCATTATCATTGCTCACACTGTGACTTCTGAGTGATACCCATTGTACAAAGCAATTCTGGAGCTTTTCAGTGAAAGTCTTTGCTGGCTGCTTATCCATGCAGTTTTTTTCTTGTATTTTAGTCTTACCGTGATCTGAAAGAAGTGACTCCTGAAGCACTGCAAATGGTGAAGAGAAACTTTGAATGGGTGGCTGAAAGAGTGGAGGTACTGGCACCAACAAACATGAAACAGATAACTATCTTTGTCCTTGTTTCAAAGTCTTCTAAGTTGCCCTTTGACTTCCCTTTCCACTAGCTGTTGCTGAAACCCCAGAGCCAAGGCAGGGTGGTTGTACTCATGGGCTCAACTTCAGATCTTGATCACTGTGAAAAAATTAAAAAGGCATGTGGAAATTTTGGCGTTCCTTGTGAATTACGAGTTACCTCAGCTCACAAAGGACCAGATGAGACCCTGAGAATCAAAGCTGAATATGAAGGTAATTCACCTTTATTTGTTGTCTACAACGAAACCTGTTTCAGGAAAACAATTATAGCATTAACCATGGGAGTCCAGTATCTTAAAGTTTTCATTCACTAGAAAATAGGTAGAAGAAATTATACAGTTGGCTTTTTCTTAGGTATACGTGGGATTTGATGCCATATCTTTTTTGTCCTAACAGGGGATGGAATTCCTACAGTGTTTGTAGCAGTAGCTGGGAGAAGCAATGGCTTGGGACCGGTGATGTCTGGAAACACTGCATATCCTGTTGTCAACTGTCCTCCGCTCTCAGCTGATTGGGGTGCTCAGGATATATGGTCATCTCTGCGGCTGCCTAGTGGTAAGCTCTTGCTCTTTAGACACAGTGGAACAAGGTTATTTTCATAGAGGCAGCATACATTTCATGATCAACTCATAATTCAACTCTCATTATAAACTGTAACAAATTACACTTCTATTTCAGGTAACACACACTGATCCAAAGTGTTAATAAAACATAACTGCCAATTTATGGGTTGTGTCAGGGAATATTTGGGGTCCAGATAGGAGAAAAACAGGGCAACAGGGAAAGTAGGGGCTGTGGTGAAAAGGTTTGGGGGAATTATGTCATGGGAACATTCTTGATCTGAACATTCACTTCTAGCAAACTCTTAAAATGGTTATAGCTATGAGGATTAAAAAGGCTAATAGGAAAGTGGAGATTTTCAGAGCCTCCATTTTGGTATAACTAAAGATTCTGGGTGTATACAGCAAAGTGACCTTAACATTTGACTGAAAAAAAAAAAATACAGAATGACTCTTTAGAGCAAGTACTTCCTATGAGACCAGAACAAGCTTGAGAAGTGTTGTGCTGGCCTCTAGTGGTGAGTGATGAAGTATTTCCAAATTTACACTCCACTTCCTTAAGAACTTGGTTACTGCTGGAAGTTAAGTCTTTGTAAACCCATTAACTTGCAGTCATCCCTTGTCTCTCCTTCACCACATTCTCCTGTCTGTTCTCATAGTCCCAGACTGGAGGATTATTTAGCAGGAAAGATCTTAAGATTTTTTAATCTAGAAACTAAGTCATCATGTACATTAGTGGCACTTTATGCATATATCAATGGCAACTGTTAACATCTTGATTCTCATTTTTTCCTATGCAGGTCTTGGCTGTTCTACAATCCTTTCACCTGACGGTGCTGCGCAGTTTGCTGCTCAGATTTTTGGATTGAACAACCATTTCATCTGGGCTAAACTGCGGTCAAACATGTTGAATACATGGATCTCCCTGAAGCAGGCTGACAAAAAGATGAGAGAAGCCACTTTATAGGTGGCTTCTTAACCCATTGCTCTATAGCCACCAGAATTTGGCATGTCATTTTAAAGAAAAGAACTCAAACCTAACCAGAAGTTTTTCCTATAGTTCTTACCATAAAGATTAGAAAAGTGATGAGTTCACAAGTGACCCAAGTAACTGAAGAAAAACTGGTTTTCTGGAACAGTAGAACTTAGCAAAAGCAAAGTGTTAATCACTATTATTCTAGAATAGTGCTTCTGATCCATCTTCTTGGCTTATTAAACAGAACTGGTTATCTGTATTGATTTGTAATCTTGTACAGAATATGCCCAGCTGGTGATTCTCCTGAAGTTTATATTAAAAAGCTAGCAATAACAGCAATAGATATGTAACTTTGCTTTTGTTTTGAAACCAAATTTTACATGATACCAATTTATGAAAGACTGGCCATATTTGAAAATGGCATGATTTCTACTAGTAGCTTAGTAGTGGAGATGATCAGAAGTCATCTTGCCCAAAACTAGAGCTATTACCAAGTACAAGGGATAATATAAAGAAGTTGTGGATTATCTGTATTTTGGGTGCTGGGGGAGATGCAAAAACCAACTCACTACAGCTGGAAATAGAAACAGCTTTCACTAGTGCACTACTTTTACCTTAAGAGTATAAATCAAGCAGAAAAATATTTATCTGCACACTATAACAAGTATTCACACTGATGATGAGTTTTTGAGTGTCATAGTTAAGTATGCCTGCTTATGACTATAGCTGTTTGAAGTTATTGGGTTTGTATAAAATACTGGTGCTAAAAAGACTGGTTTTAACCTACCCTCTCATTTGCCTTAATAAGTTATACTTGTCTTATCCATTAATGGTTAATTTTTTCAGAATTTGTACTTCCTTTCTTAAAAAAAATCCAAGATGGCCCTTTTGGCTTGGAAAATTGTAAGAGAAACATAGAAACATAGCCAATTGGAAGGGGTCTCCTAGGCCATTTAGTCTCGACCCAAAGCTGCAGCTGGCTCTGCTCATGCGATACCCAATGTGTAGGTGTCCAATCTTTCCTTGAACACCCTTACTGATAGGGGCTCCACCACCTCCCATGGAAGCCCATTCCATATCCTAAGGGTCCTAACCATCAGGAAGAACTTCTTGACATCCAACCTGAAACCCAGTTCCTTGCATTTTGTCCCATTGGACTGCATACTTTCTTTCACCACGGGAGAACAGGTCACAACCGTCCTTCAGGCTATAAAGACCCAGCTTCATCAATCTCATCTCCTGTGCCATCCTCCCCAATTAAGCTACCATCATTATGACCCTGCCCTGAACCGATTCTAACCTAGCTATGTCTCGCATATAATTCAAATACTGTGTAACTGGGTGCAGTACTCCAGTTGTGGGTGCACCAGAGTTTTATAGAGTAGTACTAGAATGGAACTAAGTTGCCGAACTTGATGCCTACATGAGATCTATCCTACATAATTCCTAGGGAGCAAGGGGATGATTCACATGAGTAGTCAGGAAATGTTTGCACTTTAATAATAAAAATATGTACTATGGATACCTGATATGTCCAGATAGAGCGTGCAAAGACTAACTGGATCATTCCTAGAATTAAAATGAAGGGCTTGTACTAATGCTTATTAAGCATGTTCTGCCTTGATTGGTGTAAGCAACTATGCTGCTATTCAAGCCACTTTTAGACATGCGTATTAATTCACCTGTTTACATCATCATACAAACATACCTCCACAGAAGTTTCCATTTTATACAAGTTAATTTTAGGGGAGGTTATTGACATTTCAGCTAGAACTCAGTCTATTTCCATGTCACAGCTTTCCCACAATTTGCTGCGATGTGTGTTGTATATAAGGTTTCACACTGTTCAACGGTTTTTGCTTGACACTGGAACCTGGATAACCCAGAATTAATTTACATTTGGTTGTTCCTTAGTAGAGACTTTATGGTTTCCAAAAGACCCCATTTTGGCTGAATAAAAGGCAGTCTAAAGATCTATAGATAAGACAGATGCTAAAATGGCAATCTGATTTAGTGCTTTGTGCTGGTGCCCATGGCGGTTTCTCCAATTTGCAAATCTTGCCCTGGGTTCAAAAGGGTTGGAGACCCCCTAGCATAAATTACTTGTATAGTAGTTTAGCACATTTACTGAGGCTGCATCATCTCCATAAATGATAGAACCAAAGCTGAAGTAGCAGTTCAATATTTTAAAAAATGGTGAAGCTGTTATCTGAAATTGGGGTGGTAGGATGGTTAGTAAAGTACTTTTACTGTTTTACAGACAACCAACATAGAATGGAGACAATCACTGTCAAGATTGCTGCTTGGTAATGCAAGCAAAACTAATCTTCAACTAAACGTTCCTCTTGATTAGTTTTGAATGTAAATCTAGTGTATCCTGCTGTGTTCCATTCAAATTGTTTATCTGAACACAACAACCATCAGCTATTTAATAGCATGTTACCCTCTAAAAACACTTGAGTATACTTTGAACTTACAGCAAATACTCTTATTTACAGCAAATGCACTGAACAGTAAATGAGTCTCAAGAACAATCTCTGGAAGATGCAGGCTGTCCCGCAGTGGAGGAATTCAGGATGCAGCTGGACAGCAATTTGCTTAAGGGATGCTTTAACCTGGAGTCCTGCATTGCAGGAGGCTGAATCCAATGGCCTTATTGCCCCCTTCCAACTCAACTATTCTGATTTTAATTACAAGGTCAGCATAACTTAATGTGCTGAAAAAATAAGCATTCCTTTAATTTCTTTCAGAGTTTTTATACTCTTCAGGCACAAGTGAAACTCTAGGGAGAATTTAAGATACTGGTATCAGATAAAGGATTTTCTCATTTCTGCACATAACTTCACTTGAACAGGCTGCCTATCCAGACTCGCTTATGTTCAGTTGAATTAGGGTTGCACAGCTTCCCAATTCAGATGCTAGAGAAATCTTCCCAAGATGGTGCCAAGTGTCACGTGAAAGATCCAGTAAGAGCAATGAGGTAGCACTCCCTACATCTGGAAAACTAACATTTGCTAAGAAAAGCCCTACTATGAAGATCCATGTTACTTACAAATTATGTTCTAGCTTCAAAAGCTAAATAAAGCTCCAAACCAGAGTAAAAATAGTTTAAGAAAAATATAAGTGTAGGTTTATTGAAAATTAAATAGTAGCAAAAGCAAGATTTGAAAAGAATTTTACAAAATGATTCACATACAAGACTGACATCAACAAACTGAAACTACAAAAAGTACCTAATGGCAAGCAATATGCTAACCTTTGAATAAATTTGTGTAAGGCATAGAAGTTTTGTTTGCACCAAAAGTGTCTCGAGTGTTTCAAAAATTGGTGAAACGTCTAGTATTTCAGTAGTTCCCAAATGTTCGCATCAGATGCCTATAAGGATACTGTGAGCCATGGTCAGTTCACAGAGTTAAGAGAAATAGATACCGACTGGATTTTCAAATCTGCAAGTTTAATAACTTGTCTGGTTGGTATGCACAGAAGTTTAGGAATCACTGCTATATTCATTACTTAGTACATAGGTAGGGCAAGCATATCCATCCCATAGAGATCTATATTGGAGTCTTAATATATCCAAAGCCCTGCTGGGTTAATGCCATCAGGTCAGCAGTGAGGGAAGAATAGCATTCACACTTTTTTCCCTCTGCCCTGGCCAGGTTTTGTCTTGCAACTAACCCCATCTTATTGAAATTACACTGGATTCCTGAGGTGGAATAGATTGCAAGCTGGTTTGGGAACAAGGCCAGGGGAAAAAGGAGCTATGAATTCTTTGCATCCATGACCTCTCCTGGACCTGCTCCTGCCACCTTGCCCTCAGCATGCCTTTTTCCTGTGCCAGAGTTCCACAAAGAGATAGGGGTATGGATGGTTGTATAAGGGGTGGCATAGGGGTGATCAGAAGTTAACTCTCCTCTGAAGGCTGTGAGCAGGAACCATAGGATTGTACAGTGAGTCTTGGAGTTAGCATGTACTGGAGAGACTTCTTTTAAATGGTCAGATGAACTACCCTTAAGACACACACTAGCAGTCATCTGTGCCCAGCCTAGCACACCTACAGGCAACATATTCACAATTTCAATAACTTCTTGAATTAAATTTCTTCAAACTGTTTGACATAGCTCCAAATCTATACAATCATTTTTATTAGGAAATATGCAAGAAAATTTAATTTGCACCATATTTATAGTTAAGACACAAAGAGAAGTTTGCTATAGCAACATTTAATACAACATTTTAAATACTTGTGCAAATAGCAACAGGGTGTTGCATCTGAGGCAAATTCTGATTTGCAAGATTTTGGATGCATTCTTAACATTGTAAACTTGGACTGACATTTTTAAATCCCGCACTTTCCACTGAACCCAAGTAGTCAGTAGAGATACTCAAATCATAGGGTACATTCTTACTTGTACATAGTGCAAATGAAGTAGATTTTTTCCGCATATTTTGTTGCTGGATTGATTTTTCTTTGTGCAGTTTTAGCGGCATCCTTCAAGCTGAAGGTATCCATTTGAAAAACTATTGATACGGGAAAATAAGAAAAGCAGTTCCGATAGTTCTCACATAAGCGCTAAAAGTGCAAATGCTGCAAAACCCTCAGCTGCTGTTACAGCTAGAACAGGGTAATATTTCAGTAAGATCCAGGTAGCTAGTCATTTGGACTGGTCTCTAGAGAAATATGTCAATATATCTTGAATTTTTATTAGGCGTTCTTTCAAAGACCTCATAGAGAGCACTGAGAGCTGATATCTAGGGTCCACAGGGAGAACAGCTAGAAGCCACCAACACCAAGCAGGTCCATTAGCTGTGTCCTAAGAATGGGAAATAAAAATGTATTACAGTTGGAATAATTGTGGCAAAGAACCAGAACTTCTAAATTTAAGAGCACTCTGCTTCATTCATTAAATTTCTACAAAATTTAGATTAATATAAAATAAAACTGAGATTTTGGGTTTAAACTCCCCCCCCAACACAATTTATCTAATAGCTAGTTTCCTAGAGTCTGCTTTCCAGCAGTATTCTAGAACAATAATTTGCATCACTAACTTGTGGGGCTGAAACAAAAGCTTGCCCTGATGAAGTAGGGCCAATTATCTCTTTCAGTCACTTCACTCTCACTGCAAACTGGTTAATGCCGAACGTCAGATTATGTGCCATTACGTTGAAATGGCATGGACAGTCCCAAAATTCTGTACACAGTGCTGCCCAATCTTGCTTCTTCTCCACTCACTGTGATAATGTAATGAAGTAGACTTCACATGCTAATAGCTATATCCAACAGCATTCACCAATTTCATTATGTTTATTCAATTCCCTGGGTTGTGTTCTGTATTTTCACAAAACAGAAGTCAATCTCAACATTGTGGTTTTATTTGATAAATATAAGATTTATTTCTTCTACAGAAAAGACTGAAAACTATCTTTTGTCTTTTTTTAAAGTTAGGATTCATTGCCCAAGACAACTCATATAAAATACTGGGCTTTCTATACTTCTTCATAAATAAATCTTTTAGCACTAACTTGAGATTGGTTACTGCCTAATTTGACTTCAGTGCTAGCAATATGGTACCACTACTGTCCCAGTTTCCTTTTATACCAAAGGGACTCTGTTCAGACTGACAGTAACCTGCTAAATGGATATAATATAACCTTAAATACCTGTATATTTTCCTCCCCTTCTGGCATTGGACCAAAGTGCTGAAGTATTTGGCTACGAAATTTGTTTCTTAAGCTTTGGAACCAGCTGCAAGCCTGGTTGTATACAAAATCATGAAGCTCCCCAAGTTTCTTCATTTCATCTTCATCCTGTACCTATGCATAAACAACAATTTATACGACTTTTTTATAAAGTCGACACATACATACACCCTACTGCAATATATAGAGGTCTTATGAAGGTGAACTATCTATTTCAGAGGCAGCTCAGCATGTGAGAAGGGGAGTTCCTGCATGGAATTGCACCTTAACAATGCAGTCAAGGAGAAAGTCGTATATGAAAGATCTGTGTAGTGCTTCATGTACCTTAAAACAGGAACTCCAACTGAAATGTCTGAAACACCAATTTTCAAAGAACTCCATTTGATTTTATTCTGTTCTACGAAGAAAGTGGCATTCATGCAGCCTACATTTCTAAACAGCTGTTTGCAATGCTAGATTAAATGACTTTATTCACTAAGAAACAAACTGCAATTCTAATCTTTTGCCTTCCACTGCAGTTAGTAAGTTTTGTTCTCCCAACCCAAGCAAACAAATTAAAGAGTATGGCCTTTTTTTATGCAATTTGCTTCCCATCCAAGCGGAGCTGCAATAGCCAGGACAAACCTAGAAAAACCATTTTAGTGTTGAATCCTCTCTTCAAACAGTAAGAGAAAGTGAAGCCTCAATACCTTTATATCTTCTAAATATTCAATGTCTGCAGTGCAATAACCATCCTTCATCCCTCTTTGAAGAACCCTGAATCTCTTTAATCCAACAGTATCCACAACAGACCTTCCATCTGGCAGATAGTCAAGATTTCTAATGCACAACATGCAGCCATAATCTGCAAAACTAGGAGGAAGAACATTGTGTCAACCAATGTTTTAGAAATTCTTTTCATATATCTTTTATTTTGTACTGTGAAATACATACCCATTTTTGGGGTCACTGATACACATCCCAAATTGTTTTGTCCCTGTTTCTATACTCCTTCGAATCATCAATCGGTACCTTGGTTCAAACACATGGAGAGGACAAGGCACAGTTGGGTAGGCCATAGTGCAAACAAAGATTGGAACATTCTTGGTTAAGCTGAAGAGAAAATACATAAAACAGCAGTAGTTATTTTTTTAAACTACATTTTGCTACAGGGGTGTAATTCTCAGTGAATATCCCCTCTCCCTGCAAAGCACATATGTTTTTCCTCTCTATTAACAACCTACTTGCTCACTCTTTAAAATGGATGATATACCAATTAGAAGTTTAAGTGTCAAGTGTTGCAGACCATCGTTCAGCATTCACAAACCAAGATGTAAGATGTAACCAAGATGCAACAATACATTTATCAGCATTGTATTTTATGTGCATGTTTTGTGCTAATCTCTTACAACTTTAACTTTCCTAACTGGAAAATGCTCTCAAGATGGTTTGCAATCATAAAACCCTCAAAGAAATAAAAAACTGAAAATATGAATATAACAAAACACTTTAAAGATATTAACAATATTAAAGTTACTATTTAAAGCAGAGTATTAAAAATAAAATGTCTGTTATAGGAGCAAGACCTTAACTTGGCATCTAAATGTATACAGTGAACAATACAAGCAGATCTGCCTGGAAAAAATATCTAGAGCACAACTCTACAGTGTGAAATCAACAGAGATGGCTAATTTAAAATAAAAAAAAATACTGTGTCTGTGTGAAGTTGTCCAAATAGAATTAGCAGAACACTATTTTCTTATTTTTATTCTGATTGTTCTACTAACCTAAACAGCAGCAAATGTGACCATTTGGAAAATATTTAAGCTATATGTGTAATTATTATGTGCCCCAGAAAAATATAAGATTAGAATGTATTTTCAGTTGTATTTTGTCCCCTCTAATGACTTGATCACAGGTACACACGGCTTTTCTTTAGTAAAGAAAAATGATCCCCATGTTTGTGTCTATGAGGTCAATGTAGGACTATGCCAAAGTGCTGAACTTAGACCAAAATTAAATGCAACAGCAACAGACTTTCATATGCGGCTGGTATGCTCTAGTCATGTATGACAGCAGTATGGTATGATTCTTTTTTTATGTGTGGGCAAGAGATACAGAATCTTTTTTATCACTTACTTCCCAACAATCCCTCCCTTTCAGGTGTACTTTCCTCAGTCAAGTTCCAGGGCCAAAACTGAACTTAAAAGGAAAACAGATTCCAAAGAAGTAGGGCCATTTGTGGGGGTGGGGGGAGGGTTCAACATCCTATGCCCATGCATCATTATTTTCTAATGTCTAGCCCTCCTGCTTTAGAAACAAACAGGGTAAACATGTATCGAAACAAGCATGCTTATGCCAGTGAAGTGTGTAATTTGGCCCCAAGACAAGGGAAAATTATGTACAAATTGCCACCTGGCAAAGAAGCTTACTGAATGCCATGCTGAAACAATGCTGAGAATGCTTCTAGATATATTACTATTTTCCTTTAGAGGAAGTAAGGAAGGCAAGGCAAGGCAGAAACAATCCATTCAACTCCACCATAGCTTTTCTTATATGAGATGGTATAGCAATATCCAAGCCACATATTATGATACAACAGTTTGAAAAAGAATCAAATAAAAAAGTTATTTTTAAAAAACAGGCACACATCTGTGAAAGCTGAATTTCATTCCTAAACTTATGTCAAATCTCTAATTACACTCTTGCACATACACACACACACTTACTTTGAATGTTCAGCCATTTCTTCTTCATGAATTCTTTTCCTCTCAGATAATTCATTGGGCAAATATTTCACTATTAATTCTTCCAACAACTGTGTGACACTGAATTTTCTACTTGCTAGAAACTAAAAGTACAAGTAAAAGTAAGAATTTACTACATGAACTCTGTGACTCCAAAATATAGTTTTATACAACTTAAGATTGCAAAGCATTGCAATGAAAACAGCTGAGCTAATAATCTTAGGCTAAACACCATCCATTTCCCTTGAACACCATTTCTATGCTCTCAGGCATGTGCATGCACACACAGTGCCTCAAAGTATTCACCTCTCCTTGCACCAAACTTTTTCCATAGCTTCTTGTGTAAGCTTCTTGTTCTGGAATTAAAATGTATTTACCTCTTGATACACATACTGTTGAGTGTTGATACTCAACATTTTTTTCACTGTGCCACAGAACAAAACCAAACTGGCAATGTCTGCCCATTCTATATGGCAAAACTGCTCTAGCTCTGTCAAGTAGGATGGGGACCACTGGTGAAAAGCAACTTTAAAGTCTTGTCATAGATTCTCAATAGAATTGAGGCTTGGGCTTTGACTGGGTCATTCTAAGACTTTCAGGCTGTGGCTTTTAAAAACCCTCCAGTGTTATGTTGGTTGTGTGTTTAGGGACACTAACCTACTGGAAGATGAGTTTCCACACAAGCCTCAGGCAGACTGAAACAGAATTACCCTGCCTTTGCCTCCATCCAGCTTTCCTCAGTCCTGCCCAGTTTTCCAGTCCCTGAACGGGAAATGCATACCCACAGCATGCTGCTGCTATACCCATGCTTCAGCACGGAGATGGTATTCTCAGAGTAGTGATCACTGTTGGCTTTGGATGACACAAGTTCAATCAGACAACTAAGCCATTTTGCACCAGTTTACTGTGCCTTCCATACCTTTTTTACAAACTGCAAATGACAGTCCTATGGCTTTGTTTCAGTAATACTTTTCTCCCCACTCATTCATAAAGCCCAGTGTTGTGGTACATTCAAGTGATAGCTGTCCAATGGAGTTTCTCCAATTTCAGCTACAGATCTCTCCAGATCCTTCAGAATAATCATCAGCCTCTTGCTTTTTTCTCTAATGCTTCCCTTACTCTCTCACTGAGTTCTGGAAGATGAAACTTCTCTGGGCCAAGCATAATTGAGCTATATTAATTCTATTTTCTTATAAGAGACTTAACACTGATCCAGGGAATGTTCATAGTTTGGGATTTTTTTAATAACCAAAGTTGTCTGGTGCTTCTACACAACTTTAACCTGGAGTTGTTTGGTATTTTATTTTATTTAAAATATCAAATTGTATCATTCTGAGCAATCTTGATTTAGACATGTACAAATATAAAATCAATTGATTACAAATGTATGTGTGTTTAGACAGGAAAAAGATCTTTTGACTCCCAACATCCCTCAACCCAGCTGGCTGAAGAATGCTGAGAAGTGCAAAACTCTTTCTGTGTACACATGCATGCAACTTCATCTTTAATATATTAAAAATTTAATTATTAAGTAGATTAGAATGTATTCAATCACACTTCAGTCTTAATTCTTACCTATGATCATTTTAACAAAATTCTGTAATGGGAGAACTGAAAGTCATTTTCATGCATACCCAAAAAAAATTAAAGCAGCCAAGTCACATAGTTTCCACCAGCCTTTTTGACTATGGATTTTAATTAAGTTTGTTTAAGTGGTAAAAGTGCCTCACCACAAATGTACAGAAAAATAATGATACCTCTTTTAAGCTTTCTTTACAGAGAGGACATTGAGCAGCGTGGTCTAAGCAACGTTCTAAACAATTCTTGCAGAAAGTATGGCCACATGGAGTTGTCACAGGGTAAAAGAAAAGCCTGAAACAAAATTTCAAGGAGTTATATACATGGGTGAATCATATTAACCACAAACATGATTAAGCTGGAAATTAAAGCAAACAAGAAAGCAACCCTAAGGGTGCATGCGCATACACACACACACGCGCGCGCACACACACACAATGTTTCCAGTCCCAGGAACCATTTCTTTCTGGTGGTGCTTTATGAAAGACTAGCCATGATCTGTGTAAGCATTTCACTATGTGTACCAGTCTTATTATTAGTAGTAGTAGTAGAGTAGTAGTAGTAGTATTTTATTTCTATACTGCTCAAAGCTGAAGCTCTCTGGGCATTTATGTTGAAAGATTCCTTGCAAGTGTTAACAAAGAATGCAGCACCGGCATGCATACTATCCATAAAACAAGAAATGCACAGATAATATTCAGTTTACTAATGTTATGTGTACTGCTGCACAGTATGGAATGATTTTACATAGAATCAATTTTCAGCAAAGACCTTAACATAAAAGCTGGCTTCGGATAGCAAAATACAATGAAAATGGGGCATAAATGCCAATAATTTTAAAAACTACTACCTCATACACAGTGAACACTCGAAGTCTGATGCATCAATCAAGTCCTTTGGAACTGTTCTATGATTCAGTGAAAAGGCCGTATCCCTTTTTGTAGTTTCTAAACCAACAAAACAAGGTATTAACAAAATATGAAATATTCAATAGGCCAGAAAATGTGCATAGATAAATGCTTACCTCCTTGTTTTTTATGCTTATTTTTTCCATCTTCGCAAACAGCGGCATCTTGTTCTGAAAGGGACAACTTCCTTTTTAATAAAGCACCTTTCTCTTGGTTACAAAGCAGAGGTTCAGAAGAAACTCTTTTTAATCCAACTTTGGTATTTTTTTCTGTAGAATTAAGAGAATGAGCAGACTGTGTATGATGAAGACTTCTTCCAATAGCCTCTGATTTAACCTGTGGCACTTCTAAATCCTACCAGGACAGAATGAGAAAAAAGTGGATACAGTTTATTAGATAATGAATTGACTGCAAATATTCTAGCAGCTTGATAAGTTCTAAAGAAAAACGTCTTTTTTCTAGATAGGCAATTTTCCTTATAGAAGAGATCACTCTGAAAATATAATGAGTACTCCATAAGGTTTTATATCATTAACATAAAATGAATAAAACTGTAGGAGAATCTGGCCATGGCTGAACACTAGCAGCAATTCTTTATTTCTCAAATTTTATTTCTACTCCTTTTATTGCAAGACTAAGCACATGATTGCTACCTTAAGACACAAAAGCTGTCTATAAGGCAGAACTCCAATCTAGTTTGTACAACTTTTACTGCTAAGAAATTCACTAACCTTGATACTTAATTTTCATTTTGAGGTAGAAACAGGAACATCATAAGGATTTAGGGCGCAGCAGGTAAGTGTGAGGAACCCAACTGGGAGTGGGGATCCATTGGATTCCTTTGGCCCAGAGTCTGAATTTCTGGTGAGTGTACCCAGTGTTCACAGGGCACTTTCCAAACATCAGGCCCTCTTCTGCGTCATGTAGCTGCTGTTTGGGCTGCAGCACCAGAAGCAGAAGACGACTGGTCACACAGGGCTCAAGAGGACTGGAACCCCACACAACTGCTAGCAGTGTCCTTCTTTTGTGCTACGTGCAGCAACCATTTGGATGGCTGCACCTGATGCAAAGAAACTTGATTACACATTGCTCACCAGGAATGGGCCCCATATGACTACAGCGCAAATAGCTTTTCTCTTCTGTGCCACCTGCAGCAGCCATTTGTGCACCTGACATGGAAGAAGGTTATCTGTTTCACAAGTGTTCGTGGATTCTTCTTCACCTTAGCTCATTGGGCTGAGCACAAGAGGAAGTCTACAAACACTAGAGGGACAGATTTTTCTAGGGTTTGTCCCAACCGTTGGGTCAAGTTCTTTGTTTATAAAGCTAGTACTGCACAACTTATCAAAGTTTCAGTAAAAAATATTTCAGTAATTTTCCTTAGTACAATTTATTTAACACTTTTATATACTCTCCTGTTACTGACATCTCAGGATGATTTACAACAAGCACAATTAAAATAAGATAAAAAATGGTACAGCATCCAGAGATAAATATAAAACCACATTAAGACCAATTAATTAAAATAATGGGAGAACAAAAAGGGTTTCACCTGGCACCGAAAAGAAAAAAGTGTTAGTGCCAGGCAAACCTCTCTGGGGAGCATATTCCATAGCTGAAGCACAACCGCAGAGAAGACCCTCCTCCAGGTAGCCACCCTCCTAATCTCTTTCAAGGAAGACTTCCGAAGAAGGATCTCCACTTCCAAAACGGCAGGGTGGAAGGGCAAATAGGGAAGAAGGTGCTCCTACAGGTATCCAGGACCCAATCCATTTAGGACTTTATAGGTCATCACCAGCACTTTAAATTGGCCTGGACTTCAATTGGTAGTTGGTGTAGACAATAGAGGACTGGCATTAAATGTCAATACCCGCTGGTCCCCATTAATATCCTAGCAGCTCTATTCTGAGCTAACTGAAGGATCCAGATTGTCTTCAAGGGCAGCCCCACATACAGAGTGTTACAATAATCCAATTGGGAAGTTACCATAGTGTGGGTCAGTGTTGCAAGACACTGCTCATCCATGTAAGGACACAGTTGGTAAATCAGCTGTAGCTGCAGAAAAGCACTCCTCACCACTGCTGCCACCTGAGATTCCAGGGACAGCTCTGGGTTGAGAAGCACTCCCAAAATGCATGCCCTGTTCTTTAGGAGTGCAACCCTGTCCAGAACAGGGCAAATGTCACTCATCTGGAAGGCTGAACTGCTCATCAACAGGGCCTCTGTCTAATCTGGATTAAGCCTCAATTTACTGACCCTCATCTGACTCATTAGCCTAGTCAGGCACCAGTTAAGGACAGTCACTGCCTCACTAGATTAGATGTGAAAGAGAAGTAGAGCTGGATGTCATTGGTGTACTGATGACTCTGCAGCCCAGACCTCTGGATGACCTCTCCCAGTGGTTTCATGTAGATGTTTAAAAGCATGAGGGATAAAATGGAACCCTGCATGGCAAAGCTGCATTGGCGCAGAACCATAATCCTCCAGCACCACCTTCTGGAATCAGGCAGACAGGTAGGAGTGAAACCACCACAAAGCAGTGCCTCCAACTCCCAACCTGGCCAGCCTATCCAGAAGGATATAATGGTTGATGGCATCAAATGCAGCTGAGAGGTCCAGGAGAACCAATAAGGACACACTTCCCCGTCCCTCTTCCTGCACAGGCCACCATACAGGGTGATCAAGGCAGTTTCAGTTCCATAGCCAGACTTGAAGCCAGACCGAAATGGGCCAAGAGCACCTGGAGTTGTCCCACCTCCACCCACATAATTTATGCACCTTGCCCCAAAATGGGATATTAGCCACTGGTCTATAATTGGCAGCTATCTCTGGGTCCAGGGTAACTCTCTTCAGGACAGGCCTGATCACCACCTTCTTCAAAGGGGCAAGAACCTGTCCCTCCCTCAGAGAGGTGTTGATAACCTCCTGAACCCAGGGGCATATCCCATCCTTGGCTCTGATGAGCAGCCATGAGAGACAAGGGTCAAGCAGACAGGTGGTGGACCAGACTAGTTCAAGCACCTTGTCTGCATCCTCAGGCTGCAACAATTGAAACTCATCCAGTAATGACGGATCAGATGGTGCTCTGGACACTTCCCGGTCTAAAACCTCTTCAACTGTGGAGTCCAGCTCATGGTGAATCTGAGCTATTTTATCTCTAAAGGGCTGGGCAAAGTCACCACAGCAAGCTACAGGTGGTGCAACAGAATCCTTTTTGGGATCAGAATAGGCCATGCACCACCCGAATAAGCTCGGCTGGGCAGCACTGTGAGGATGCAATGGAAGTGGAGAAGAATTCTTTCTTTGCCGCCCTCACCGCCACAACATACACTCAATAATGAGCTCTAAGTTGCCCTCGGTCAGATTCGTCACAGGTACATGTATAATGTGTGTTATCTCTCCCTGCCCCAGTATCAGAGATCCTTAGAAACAAATCACTAGCTATTGGCCAAACTGGGAAACTGACAATTCCACAAAGAATAATTTTCCAAGGCAGAAAGCTGCACTAGATACTTTCAACAACCCTGTCAGTCTTTGAAATGTTCTAAGTGATCTAACTATAAGAAACAAGTTGTAACAAAATCACACTGGCATTATGGCCTAAATATGTCAGAAATCAAAGTATAATAAATATCTATTACTTACAGGCTCTGAAGGGAGCTGTAAATGATAACAAAATTCTTCTGCTTCAGAACCATGAATAAATGGTTTGCCTCGAATATATGATGAATTCAAAGCAGATTCCTTCAAACCCTCTCTCACATTTTCTGGTGACAGCAAATCACACAGCATCTGTGGAATTTGGAATATTAAAGAGTAATATCCAACCATTAGAGACCAAATAATTTTTCATGTATAGAACTATTTGCTTATATCAAAGGTGATATGTAGCCCTCCATCAACCCTAAGCAGCATAACTAATGGCATGATCAGAGTTTAGTTCAATAATATCTACAGGGCCCCCATCCCTGCCCTAGGTTAGTCAGTATTATTTGAATATTTAGGCAATAGTTTGTCAGATGCAGACTCCTGCAAGTCCCTTGGACTGCAAGGAGATCAAACAAGTCAGTCTTAGAGGAGATCAACACTGACTGCTCTTTAGAAGGCCAAATACTGAAGATGAAACTCAAATACTTTGGCTACCTAATGAGAAGGAAAGACTCACTGGAGAAGATCCTAATGCTGTGAACAATTGACGGCAAAAGAAGAAGGGGACGGCAGAGAATGAAGTGGCTAGATAGAGTCACCGAAGCAGTTGGTGTGAGCTTAAGTGGACTCTGGGGGATGATGGAGGACAGGAGAGCCTGAAGGAATGCTGTCCATGGGGTTGTGATGGGTCGGGCATGACTTCGCAACTAACAGAACATAACATAAATGTCAGATGTACTTAAAAAAAAAAAGCTTCAATCACTCCTTGCACACACATCATCAAAGGTTATTCCTTGAATCCTGCTCTAATGTTTGTAAGTTAGATAACATATATTCTTTCAATTCTAGCTGTTATTGTTTGCTTTTTAAATTATATATACCCATCTGTTCAGCCAGGAATGGTTCCTAGACTGATTTATAATTAAAATCCGAGAACAGAGATTTTTTAAAATCATAACCAACTCAATGTTGTCACAGAAGCAGTTCCCTCAATCCTGCCAACATTCACCCCAAAGATATTTCTTAAGCATGCCTTTGCCCATGAGGTAAGGTATCTAAGGCAGGATTTATTTACTACTGTGTGTGTAATCCAATAGGGATGTCTACTCATGAAAAAGGTAGGATGAGGTGCTTGTCAAGATACAATGCAATCTCCCCATCCAGGACCAGCTCCAAGGTCAGTCTTACAACTTCAGAGCTGCAGCTGGTGTGGAAAGAATGGCACTGCCTATGAGGACAGGCACTCAAAAATTGGAATCCCAGCTCTGATTTCAAAGCATGTTGCCAAAGTGAGGGTTAGCACTCCAAATGTTTCTATGGCCGGCCAGCCGGCTGGCCAACCAGCCTCTGCCAACCTCAAGATTATAAAGTATTATAAAACTAATATTTTATAATAAAATACTAATCAAGACATTCATTTATATATAAGAAGCTATCTTTGAAAATCTGGGTTGCTTAATCAGCTAAATGCTTAACTAGTTTAAGCTCCTGATTTCTGTAAAATTAACTGATATTCAAGGTTTCTTTTCCCCCCATATGAATGTTGATTATAAGAGGAAAATACATTTGGAAAGTGTATTAAAATGGGAAACAGGAGTTGATCACTAGTTTATGATACCACATATGTACCTTCTCCACTTCTAGCTTTGCTGGAAGAAATCCTTCATCAAGTGCTAGGCAGTGAAGAAAAAGCTGAAAGGCTTCATCTATAGAACCAGCATTATGAAGTATTTTTGCTCTTCTGAAGTAGACCTGAAAAAGTATTTTCTATTAAGTGTAAGACATACTATGATAATTATTTGATTTGCATAACATTAAGTTTTTCAGCCCTGATCCTAAGCCAGTTCCACTGTGTTCAGTGAGATTTCCTTTCTATAGCATTATTTAGGACTGCATCATTTGGCTAGAATTCTATGAGAAGAAAATTTCAGTGAAATCAATAGAACTTATTTTGAAATAATGGCCTCAAGAGCTGAGCACAATATCTGAGGCTATGGGATAGAAAACAATCAAGGCAGAAAAGGCATGACAGAATTAAAGTTCGTGTAAAGGGATGAATCTCTCATATAATCTAACATCATTACTTCCTATGTGACATCTGCTACTGAGTGCAAAGAACTCAACAAGTATCTTGCAATGACTGACAGGGCAGGTCTGGCAAGACAGGGTTTTTCCTCCTCCACAAGGGATTTAGATTGGACCCTGCCTGTCAATCAGTGGGAGAGGAGCTAACCTGAATGATGCATAAGATGTCTGTCAACTAAGTATGTCAAAACATGCTTCCTTGACTGTTTCATGCTTATGCGGTGGTAGGAACTCTTGGTAAGAAGTATTTGTTTATACCATATTGAACTTCTTTCTTTCAATCAGTATTCAATAGAAATTATATCCTCTTAAGCGGAGGAGGAGGAGGAGGAGGAAGAAAGCATGCATGGACTAACCAAGTTAACCCATGGTTTAACTCAGCATTCTCATTGCCCCCCCCCCCGCCTTGAAACCAGTTGTAGAATTTGGGATGAGTGAATCCTCAACTTAAATTATTTGTACTCAAGTCTGCCATTGATCTCTAGAGTTTTCAAATTCCTAAATGACAAAGCTTGACAATGCAGGCACAATTAAAACTGGTCTTCTGCTAGAAATCAACTCACCTATGCTATGCCTACTGGAAAACTCACATTTGCTTTTAGAAGAAACCTTGAGAACATTAGCAAGGCATCACATAAAAGCCATTTATATGCAACCTAGTTTCTGCTCCATCCATGGTGCAACTATATACTACATATTTAAACTTACCTCAGGCCAATTTGGCATTTTAGTAGCAATAGTGTTCAGGTCATCCTGGGCAGATTTAAATTCTTGGAGTCCAGCATAGGATTCAGCTCTATAAAGCAGTAACATCAAGTCATTAGGATCTAAAATAAAAAATAGCATTTCATTATGTAGCTTCTTTATGTTTCTAATATATTAATATTTCTGTATTATGATTTCTAAGCCTTTATAGTTACACTGAAAAGTTTATGAAAGTAAAGACTATTAAGTAGTCTTGAAACATCAATTTTAATGTGACTTTTCAGATTCTAATCTTTGAATACCAACTATAATAAATGACACAGGAGTTATAGATGGTAACTGATCATAGTTTCTGATTTCCCAATTTTTAGCTTGTTTCTCAAATTCTAACTGGTATATCAAACTATGGGATAGATTGTTTTAAAGGTTCTTCTTTGATCAATAGTAGTAGGAAGGTGGTTGAAAAGAAGGCTTTCTAAAAATGAAGTATCTTGATCAAATTTATGATTGCTATGTCATTCTTTAATGCATAAAACTCTTTTTTGCTTTTTAACTTTCATAAAGCGTTAACCTCCAAATCTCAATGCTTCAGACTAAATTGCAAGGTAAGTTTTATTATCCAGACACAACAATTTCAAGTATTCCACACTTACAAGTAACAGGTAATTTGTATATATTCAATGAGACCAAAGTAGATACTGGTTCACACATAAGGTTAATATACGTTAATAGGTTGCTGAATTTTGGATTGATAATGATGCATGAATACAGCCAGTTTAATAAACCACAGCTTCTTAACCACAAAGCATTCCTGAAAGAAAAGCCATGGTTTGGGCTTGGGTTGTGAACTTCTGATTGTTTCAATCAAGGGTTGTAATGCATGAATACAGACTACTGGGTTCTTGTTTCACCAGGCTACAGGGTCAGTGAGGAACAGCAGTTAAACAAACCCTTAGCCATTATAAATGTCAGTATTACAGTGCTACAAAGGCATTTGGGATACAGGGAGGAGTAGGTGAAGGATGAGGGAAACTGAGGGATTGAGAGAACAAACCACAGTGGGTAAACATTATGTGCAAACTAGACCAACAACTTCATCACAAGATAATTTATGCTTTGGAATTGTGAGTGGTAAAAATATGCTGAAAGAGCAACCAATTGGTAAATTTTGCAAATACAGTGGTACCTTGGCTCACGAACTTAATCTGTTCTAGGACTCTGGTCGTGACCCAAACTGGTCATGAGCCAAGTTAAATTTCCCCATAAGGTTCAATGTAAATAAGGTTACTCTGTTCTGTAACTATTTTTTTATTCAGAAAAATGTAAAGCAAAGTGACAAAGATCAACAAAGATTGTGGCCCTCTCCCCCGCCCCCGAGCACAACCACAGCCATCTCCCCAACCTCCCAGTACAATTGCGACCGCCCATCATCCCTGCATGCTCTTGAGGGGGAGAAGAGACAGGTGCAAATGCGGGCGTGCTGGGGGAGAGAGATGGGCGCGAATGTGGGCACGCTTGGTGGGGGAAGACAGGCACAATCGTTCTGGAGGGGGAGATGCCTGATACCACAGTTGCACTCCTGCAGGAAAGATGGGTGCAATCATGGGTGCGCTCCTGCAGGAAAGACAGGCGTGATTGCAGCCACCCCCCCACTCGGCCGCCACCCAATGCAGATTTTGCAACCTAAGTCAAAATGTTTATGAAATTTTTGTTTACGACCCGATTTGGTCGTTAACTGAGGGGTTCGTGAGCCGAGGTACCACTGTACATAAATACAAATAGACTTGGCAGGAAGTGGACTAGAGTGTATGACAGCGTTGCATAACAAAACTGCAGGTCCATAGTAGATGAAGATGATAAAAATAATAACTATTCATTCAGCTCTGTGCTGGGTTAGGACATAAGGTTTGCTAGCCTAACTTTTAACAATAATTCATGCAACGGTGTGAGTTTTCAAGAAATTTTGAATTGGGAAATTTTCTACAAAATATCCCAATGAAATCTAAGTTATTTTACATAGGATAATTTGCATAAGAATTTTTAAGATGTTCATGCAATGTTTTGATGTTAGCAAAGTTTGGCAATTTGTGACTCTCCAGATATTTTATTTATTTTAATATTTTCTATATTGTCATTCATTAAAAATCTCATGATGGCTTACACAAAAAATGTTGTAAACAAGTAAATCAACAATAAAACAATTAAAAACTTCTTAGCAGCAGCACTTGATAAAATGCTTAAAACATCAATAAATAATGAAAAAACTGGGTAAATAAAAAGCTTTTGGCCTGGCATCAGAACAAGTAACATCTCTATACCAGGCCCACTTCTCTAGGCAGCAAGTTTCATAATAGGGGCATGGAAGCAGAAAAGACCCTCTTCACTTCTTTCAAGGAGGGCTCTCAGAAGAGGACTTCCACAGATGATCCTAAGGTCTAGTCAGGCCCATACGGTTATCTCATTCCCTTAGATAACCAGGCCCTAAATCATTTAGGGCTTTATATGCCACTACTGGCACCTTAAATTGGGCCCGGACTTCAACTGGAAGCCAATGTAGCAGACATAGGACTGGCCTAGTATGTTCTCATCTACCAGTCCCAGTCAGCAATCTGGCAGCTCTGTTTTGAACCAATTACAATGTCCAGACCATCTTCAAAGGCAGCCCTATGGAAAGTGTGTTTCAATAGTCCAAATGGGATGTTACCAGTGCATTAGTTACTGTTGCTAGGGCTTGTCTGTCCAGGTAAGGACACAGCTGATGGACCAGCCTTAGCTGAAGGAAAGCACTCCTTGCCACAGATGCCACCTGGGATTCCTGGGATAAGTCTAGGTCAAGGAGTATTCCCAAACTGCACCTCCTGTCCCTTAAGGGGTGTGCAACCGCATCCAAGACAGGGCAAATATCACTCACCTGAACAGTTGGCCCACCCACCAGCAACACTTCCGTCTTATCTGGATTAGTTTATTGGCCCTCATCCATCCATCACACCATCAAAACATGTGTTCACAGCAGTCACCACCTCATCTGGATTGGATGAGACTGAGAGGTAAAGCTGGGTGTCATCAGTGCACTGATGACTCCTCAGTCCAAACTGGGATGACTGTTCCCAGTGCTTTCAAGTAGGTATTAAACAGCACGGGGATCAAATGGAACCCTGCAGAACTCCACAGCATAACTGCTATGACACAGATCCACAATCCCCTAGTGGCACCATCTGGAATTGGCCAGCCAGGCAGGAGAGGAATCATCATAAAACAGTACCTCCAACTCCCAACCCCGCCAGCCTATCCAAAAAGATACCTTAGTTGATGGAATTGAAAGCTGCTGAGAGGTCCAGGAGAACTAAGAGGGATATACTCCTCTTGTTGCTCTACTGGCAGAGGTCATTCCACAGGGTGGCTAAGGCAGTTTCTGTCCCATATCTGGGCCAGATTAGAATGGGTCTAGATGGTCAGTTTCCTCCAAGAGTGCCTGGAGTTGCCCAGCCACCACCCTCTTGAGCACCTTGCCCAGAGAGGGGATGTTGGCCACCAGTCTATAATTGGTGGCATTCTCTGAGTCCAGGATTGCTTTCTTCAAGAAAGGCCTGATCACCACCTCCCTCAAAGAATAGGGAACTGGACCCTCCCTCAGAGAGGTATTGATTACCTCCTGGACCCAGGGGCACATCCATTCCCTGGCTTTGATGGTCAACCAGGACAGGCAGGGGTCAAGTATGCAGGTGGTGGGATGAACTTGTCCAAGCACATGTTTGAAATTCATCCAACAAGACCAGACACTGGACACCTCCTTTATAGGACTAATTCCAATGGTGAATTCTGATTTGTGGCACATTCAAGCAAGTTTACTCTCAAAGTATTATGCAAATTCATTGCAGCAGGCCACTGGGGGTTCAGATAGGGACCACCTGAGGGCTAGACTGCAATAGGCCATGAACCACCTGAAACAGCACCGCTGGATGACTCAGTGAGTATGCAATGGTGGCAGAAAAGAATCTCTTCTTTGCTGCCTTCATCACCACAACGTAGGCTCAATAATGAGCTCTTACTTGTGTTTGGCCGGATTCGGCACAGGTTTTTCTCCACCTGTGCTCTTAGTGTCTCCCAGCTTGCTTCACTGCTCTCAGCTGAGGAGTGCACCAAGGTGCTGCACAGTGGGGAGAGAGCATTTAGGTGTGATCATGTTCATTGCCACTCCATATTCCATCAAGCTTCAACAGGAGCGCCAGTCATATCAGCCAGAAATTTCCCCAGAGCCCACAGGAATCCATCTAGATCCATCTGATTCCAAGGCAGACCATTTGAATAGGTCCCCCACACTTATGGAAGGAAAAAGAAGTCAAAAGTCTAAATCTCCTATATTTTCACCTATAACTCCCATCATCTCTTACCATTGGCTTTCGTTTGTATTTGCAATTGGCATACATTCCATTTTACTTAAGATCATATGAAATGGAAAGGGTTTTCTTTTTAACAGAAAAATAAACCATTGGAAATTTTTCACTGCACATCACTAAATTCATGCTGGGCATCTAAGAATTTGAAATATTTTCCCATACTTAGTCTTGTGCATTGGAATGCACATTACAGATCTGCTTTGTTCAACTGCTCTATTTATTTATTTATTTGGAAAACTTTTATGCCGCCCCATTCACATAAGCCTCTATGATCCTAACTGGTATACAGCAAAGGCAAAAATAACTCAAGTTCACCTCAAAACCATTTTAAGGCTAGCTGCATTATACCATATGTCCAATACCCTAGTCAGCCTGCTTCTGCAGATCAAGTCACATGACAGTTTACTAGCTGAATCTGAGGTCATATAAATATGGCACAATAGGTCACACCCCAAATTTAGTGTTTTATCCAATGAACTATACTATCTGGATTGAGTTGTAGTAGGTCTTGAAGTTTTAGTTTTTAAATTACTTTTCTACATTTTTTCAGTTTCACAGCCAAATCTCACTCTTCACCATGATTGCAATTCTCAAATATGTTTGTTAGTCCATTTACAGATCTCACTCAAATTATGGACAGTTACTTTTCTATGCACAATTACATATATCTAACTAGATTTTTATATTGTTGTATTTAATTACTGTTGTAAGCCATCCAGAGATATGTAGTGATTGGACAGGTTAGAAATATCCCAAATAAAAAATAATAATAAATAGTTTCTATTTCACAATAAAAAAAATGTTTCCAGCAAGTATTCTATCCCCAGCATGTGTATGTGATGACTTCAAGGACATTGCTCAGGGAGCCATATTGGCTAATGTGGCAAAATAAAAATCCATATATAAACTGCCTATTCTAATACATTACAGACCATGTATTAGAAAGAATTGTCTTAACCTAGTGCTTTAACATACTATGCAAAATTTTAAAGCAGTGTTAAAACCTTCTACAATCTGGTTAACAGAGGGAAAAAGGTGCTTAGGCTCTAAAATCTGAATGGGTTTCTACTCTTCATATGCTTTTTAATCAATGACATGACCACTGATACAAAAGTGCAAGATAAAAATACTGTAATGTCTGTCAAGGGACAGCAAGTATACTAGGTGCGAAGTATGATTTGAACAGTCAGAAACCCAGAACTAGAGCAAGAGTGTTACAATGACTAACAGCTCAGATCCACTATCATTAGGATACACAGAATCATGCGTATGATTAAACTGACCTGAATTTCTTATAAGTAGTTATTCAATGAGTAACTGTTAAAAGTTCTTTGAATTTTAGACTAATCATAATTCCCTGACCTAACCATACCCCATATCTTTTCCCAGCAATGTGCTGTGAAAAGACCAACACACCCATCTGTGATGTCACCAGTATTATACAACCTTTTCCCCTTCCACGCCCCCATTTGCTTATGCAACTAGCCCTGGAGTCCTGCAAATTGTCTCAGTACCACTTGGGAAGACTGAAAATAGCCCTCTCCATTAAATTAGATACAGCACAAGTGATTACTGGTCCTCAGTATCAGTGTCCCAAGGTTTCACAGCCAAGTGCCTGCCCTCACTACGATCCCTGTCTCTAATACATGCTTGCTGGCCCATCTACAGGTTTTCCTCATATTTAGATCACTCATACTAGAAGCAAACAGTGCTTATATTACATTTTCATTTCTGCACAGACTCTTTAAGATAAATTCTTAAATATTTAAGTTCAAGTATTCCAGTAACCCACTGGAAATGACAGAGTTGTAACACTTGTCTCTTAGCCACTACATTGTTTTAAAATGCTCTGAAATGCATTTATAAAGTATTCCAACTCTTGGAAACTGGAGTTTACAGACAGAAGAAGAAAATGAACATTATTTACTTCCCTGGAAATCAAAATAAGTGAGTTGACTGCTTTCTCTAAGTCACTCACAGTTAAGTGGGGCAAATCAATAGGATTATTTCCCCAACATATATAATGTTCATTTCAACCTTAGGAGAACTGTTCTAAGTGCACAGTGAAAAGGGAAAAAATACAGCTTTTACATACGAAGAAAAGTAAATGTTAAGATATTTCAAGCACCCTTCAATACAGACTGGCACGTTAGGATAACCTAACTGGCAGGTTAGGAAATTCAATGTGCATACCTTCACTAGGGAGCTTCCCATAGCTCTAACACACCACAGACATGAAGCAGAATCAACTACACAACAATAATTTGCAGGTGGTTATGTAAATACATTTCGTTCAACAGGCAGCTATACAAAACACCAGAGCTGATCTGCAGCAATTTATTTACAGTCAGCCCAAGATACTACAGTCATCAGACAACTGACCGAAATTTGTGAGCCAGCTATAGCAAAATATGTATATAGCTATGGCAAAATACTAAGCACTAAGGCAAGCCTGCATGCAGGATCCCCAAATACCTTCACAGAAGTGACTTCAATGCCAAAAAAAAAAAAAAAATCAAATCGAGTTCTATGCAGGTTTACTCACAAACTCCACTGAGTTCAATGAGCCTTCACCTATAAACAGGATGGCACTTCTCGGGAGCACTTTTTCTTATTTGCAGCAAGGCCCAATGAACTCCGTATAACTTCTTTATGAGTTACATATGCCTAAGTTTGGGTGGGCAGCTCTTTCTCTGTGAGGTGAGGGGAGGGGGGATGCTTTTCCCGGGGCTCAATCGTGTCCCACATGCTTTCAGGGCCCGAGCCCTCGTCGCTTACCCTCTAGGAGGGCCCGAGTGGCGGCTCCCTGAGCTTCCCGAAGCTGGCCGTGCCTCAGCAGTTCGCCCAGGCGGCGCCAGGCCCGCACCCTCTCGCACTCCTGCGGGAACCACTTCTCCGCCACCTGACTGAGGACGACAGTGACGGACGGCGCCCCAAGCGGCTCCCCGCAGCGGCGGCAGCGGGCACGGAGCTCCTCACGCAGGCAGCGGCGGCAGTAGGTGTGCCCGCACGGCGCCGTTACCGGCTCGGCCAAGAAGCTCCGGCAGCCGCAGCAGCTGAAAAGCGCCCCTGCCGCCGCTCCGTCATTTTCTGCCCGGCCGCCCAGAGCCGGCGGCTGCAGCTCCTCTCCTTCTTGCTTCTCCGGCGAGTTTCCAGCCGCTCCCGCTTTTTGCCCGCGCTGCCTGAGGCGATAGTGCACCACCAGGCAGTCCACCAGCGTGCTCAGTCGGCGGCGGAAGCTCGAGGTGGGCGGCGGACCGAGGCGCAGAGCCGCCGAGTACGTCTCCAGAGCCTCTTTTAGGTGGTTGCCCAGAGCCAGCCGCTCCCCGCGTCGCAGCAACCGCTCTTGCTCCGACTGACCGGCACCGTTATTCCCCGGCTCTCGGGCCGCCTCGACGGCCACCGGCGACGACGCCATTTCTTCCCCCCTGCGCCTCGGTTTTCCCGCGGCCCGTCCGGATCCCGGAGGGGGTGTGGCACGAGCCTCCGGCCGCTGTCACTGCCGCGGGCTCTCCTCGTAGAAACAGAACGGTCAGAGTCCACAGGCGCGCGCGCGAGCGCGCGCTTCCAACAGCACGGCTTCTCCGGTCGTTATTAGCCGTTAAGCGCGCTCACGCGCGGTTCCACTCGCGCGCCCCCTCCTCTTCTTTTAAAGTTCGCCGCGTACGCGCGGCCCTCTCCCACAGGTAGCTGTAAGGGACCCACGCCATCCCCTCGCGGCTGCCCCCCCACCTTTCCAGCAGCGAGACAACGCCACAGACTTACATAAAACGACGCGTCATCTGACTTTCCGCTCAAGCTTACTTTCGATTGGCCGTCGGAACGCAGCGGGCAGCGCGACAAAGAAAAGGGGCGTGGTGGGGAAAATTATAAAACACGGGCACGTGCGCGCGCTTTTCTGCAACTTCTTGGCTTACGAGGGGACGTAGAAGGTGTGGCTGGTTCAAGCAGCAGGACGTTGGCTGTGTGCATTAGAGTGTGGCTTTGAAGCGTTCAGCGCTTCTCCAGCACTGTTTTGTGTAGCTTTCATTTCGATGGGTCCGAGTGGGTCCCGTTAAACCCCTGTAATGTGTTATAGAGGAAATAATCCGTAGGTTAAAACAGGTGGCAGATAAAATTTAAGCCCGCTCTCCTTTCGTGCAAATGGGCTCCTTGTGCTCCCATGGCCTGCGCACAGTGGACAAGCCCTTTATAGGATGAGTACCGTCTTGCCACTACGGTGACTATGGGAGGAAAGGCAGACAAGTTCCTGTGCAGGGAAGCATGTTTTTAAAAAAGGAAATCCCGTATGCATCACCTCTCCCAAGTCCTAAGCTCCCTGAGCAGGGCACCTTCTTTTCGTCCCCACTCAGTTGACCATAGCGGACCATGGTGATGGAGCACGTGTTTCATGCACCTGGGTTCACTCTCTGGTATTTTCATGCAGCAAAGAATCCTGCCTTTGACCTGCTGCCAGTCAGTGTAAATAACACTGAGCTAGATCGACGTGGTATAAAGCAGTTTCCTAGGTTTCATTTCAGCTGTTTTCACCCTTATTTATTTATTTATTTATTTATTTATTAGACTTATTTCCTGCCTTATTTTTTTACAAAGAATTTAAAAGTGGCTTACATAATTCTCTTTCTGCTCGCAATTTTATCCCCACAACAACCCTGTACAGTAGATTAGGCTGATCCTAACCTTTAAGCCTGGCCAATGGTCAAACTGTAGTCCAAAATATCTGCAGGGGATATCAAGTTTTTGTTTTTTCTGCACAGAAATTTGTACTTAGTGTATTTTTGTATGCATTTTCAGATAGTTTTCAAGTAGTTTTCTACTTATGACATCTATGGACTAAAATGTGTTTGTGCATGTTTTAGAAATGTACAGTTTTCTTCGTACATCTGTTAGTTATATACATGCTAACAAAGAAACACATTGCAAGCTTGGAACTGTGCAGTTTTCCAATAACAAATTGCATTTAGTCTGCTTCGGTTCCAGGAGATGTGAGTTGGGCGAATTGGTGGGGAAAATTAACAGTAAATTAATAAATCATTAGGCAACCAGACCACCTGTTTCAGGACATGCACACTAGGTTCCCTTGTACAGTCACAGAAAATGATGCACATTTTGCTACTCCTAACAATATTGCCTGTTTAATCCCTTGCTTTAACACTTGTGTAAGTGGGCCATACCATGAAACTTTGCTATGATGCTGTTTCCAGGTGGAGGGCTCCTTTCCAAAAGACAGTGTGCTGCTTTTCTGTCTTTCCCTCCTTAATGGATTTTCTGCAGTAAGAAAAATATGGCAGAAATGGGGAGAAAAAAATAGGACAGTTACTTTGGATTTCTTCTAGACCACATTTTTTAAATAGTCAACATATATTTTATTTGTTTTATTTTTTGTTGCAAGCAGACCACACAACTTATTTTGTTACAGGGCAAACAAACTTATAACTTATTTTGGTACACCCTTAAATGTTTTAAATAACTTAATCAGCAAATAAAAATGTATTATGAAAGATACAAAATATAATCCAGGACTGATCCAAATTACTTTAAGTTTTGGGGACAAAGTCAGTGAAGATTTGGGGAACTGTTTCAGTAGCCACAGTTATCTCAAATCCTTTGCATAACAAAATAGATTAGTAATATGTGTGTATTGGCCCTTGCAACACACAGTCCTATCAACTGACAGACTGATAAACTGTTGTCAGTGGCCTCATAGCAGCAAGCTATGAGTAGTAGTAACATCACATTACATTTATAGCCCGCCATTTTTTCCCTTGCTTTTGCAAGGATCCCAAGGCAGCTTATTTAGTCCTCCATCTCTCCATGATATCTTCACAACAACCCTGTGGGGTAGACTGAGAGTCAGTGACTGACCCAAAGTCACCCAGTTGAATATCATGGCTGAGTGATGACTGGAACTGCAATTTCCTGAATTCCAGTCCAATATCCTAGTCCATCACACTGGTAGTCGTACATAGTATCGCCAGGGCTAAATAACTGAAGAATTCCATTTAGTATGTTGTAGTTTTATTTCTGTTTTTTTTTAATTTGCATTGAACAATGGTGGGATATAACATTGGGATAGTCAATCACCAGTAACATAATTTCCAATTTCTTAGCTGTTCGTGATTGTTGTGTTAGGCTGTTTTCAGAGTTTTGCAGCAATTTTGCAGTGAATCATTTAAATCTGTCAGAATCTAACAATGGTTTCTTGCGGTCTCAGAACTGCTGTAATTGACTAAGACTAGTAACAAAAACCATTTTTCCCTATTTATTTTATTTATTTAGGAAGCTTCTATGCCGCCCCATTCGCCAAAGCCTCGGGGCGGCTCACAACAATAAATAAATAATCACAATATAAAAACAATATAATTTGAGTCGACCTGGCCAAAGAATAAAATAAATAATATTGACAATTAAAATAACGCTTAAATAAAAAGGTCTTCGTCTGGCGCCGAAAAACTAATAAGGACGGCGCCAGGCAGACCTCTCTGGGGAGCGCATTCCATAGATTGGGAACCACTGCAGAGAAAGCCCTCCTCCGAGTACTTACCCTCCTAATATCCTTCATGGAGGGTTCCCAGAGAAGGGCCTCTCCCACTGATCTCAAGGGCGGGCGGGCGGGCGGGCATATATGGACATAAGCGCTCCTTCAGGTAACCAGGACCCAAGCCATTAAGGGCTTTATAGGTCATAACCAACATCTTGAATTGGGCCCGCACTTCAATGGGAAGCCAGTGAAGCTGATGGAGGACTGGAGTCATGTGAACATAATGCCCAGTCCCCGTCAGCAGCCTGGCAGCTCTATTTTGAACCAATTGAAGTATCCGAACCGTCTTTAAGGGCAGCCCCACGTAGAGCGCGTTACAGAAGTCAAGTTGGGAAGTCACCAACACGTGTGTCACTGTCGTCAGGCAGTCGTTCTCCGGGTAGAGACGCAGCTGATGGATCAGCCGAAGCTGAAAGAAAGCGCTCCTCGCCACCACTGTCACCTGAGCTTCCAATGAAAACTCTGGGTCGAGGAGCACTCCCAAGCTGCGGACCTTGTCCCTAAGAGGGAGTGCAACCCCATTCAGGACTAAGTTCAGGTACCCTTCCCCGAAGCCCGATCCACCAACCGACAGGACCTCCGTCTTGTCTGGATTGAGCTTCAGTTTATTGGCCCTCATCCAGCCCATTACCTCGGCCAGGCACCGGTTCAGTACAGCCACTGCCTCACCTGGATTGGTGGAAAATGAGAGGTAGAGCTGGGTATCATCAGCGTACTGATGATTCCGCAGCCTACACCTCCTAATGACCTCTCTCAGAGGTTTCATGTAGACACTAAATAGCAAAGGGGACAAAATGGATCCCTGCAGTACTCCATGGCATAGCTGCCATGGCGCAGAGCCATAGTCCCCCAGCATCATCACCTTCTGGAATCAACCATTGAGATAGGAGCAGAACCACTGCAAAGCAGTGCCTCCGACCCCCAATCCCGCTAGCCTATCCAGAAGGATACCATGGTCAATGGTATCGAAAGCCGCTGAGAGGTCCAGAAGAACCAACAGGGACACACTCCCCCGTCTCTCCTCCTGCACAGGTCATCGTACAGGGCGACCAGGGCAGATTCAGTACCGTACCTGGGTCGAAGTCAGACTGAAATGGGTCCAGATAATCAGTTTCATCCAAGAGTGCTTCGAGTTGTCCCACCACCACCCGCTCCAACACCTTGCCCAGAAACGGGATGTTGGCCACTGGTCTATAATTACTGGCCATCTCTGGATCCAGTGACGCCTTCTTCAGGACCTGTCAGACTACCGCCTCTGGGGAGGTACCCGGCCCTCCGTCAGAGAGGTGTTAACCACTTCCAAGATCCAGGTCCCTATCCCGTGCTTGGTGTTGTTAACTAGCCAAGATGGGCAAGGGTCCAATAAGCAAGTGGTAGAACATACTCGTCCAAGCACCTTGTCCACATCATCAGGCCGCAGTAACTGAAATTCATCAATTTTGGACCAGACGGCAACATTGGTATCTCCCCAGAAGCCTCTGAGTCACTAGTGGAGTCCAGCTCGTGACGAATCTGAGCGATTTTCTCCCTGAAATGCTTGGCAAAGTCATCACAGTGGGCCTTCGAGGATGGAACCGGATCTTTCTTAGGGCCAGGATGAACCAGCCCTTGTACCACCCAAAAAAGCTCCGCCAGACGGCATTGTGAGGAGGCAATGGAGTGGCGAAGAATTTATGAGATAGCCTCTTGTTCAATACTAATAATATTTAACTGTCTGAGATCTATCATTCCCTTAAGCATTTCAGTGGATGCACACATAGTAGGCTTACGTTACTGATTTGCAACCACTCATAATTAAAGCCTCTTTCATAACATGTGAAGAATTAAGATTGTCTGTGTAGCCATAATGAGAGCAATTCCTAGCTTCTAACTAACCATTTCGCTTTACAATCAGAATTCCATTCATTTATGGAGATCTGTCAACTAAGGCGGCAGCTTTGCAGTGTGTTATGTAAAGCATACAAATTGTTTATTTCCTGTGAAGCAGGGTTGCATAATGTACAGGGCACTCCAGCATAACAGCAAATGCTCTCTGGGGCGTTTCTTATCAGCCAGTACAGGAACAGAGTGAATTTTTCACATTCTAATTTCTTTTATATAAGTTTATTTTTAAATGCATGATATAATATCAGCCTTTACAAAAATGTAAAATAACTGCTGCCTTCTTACACCAGAAATTTAGAAAAGCAAAGCATCCCAGCAGGGAACAAACAGCTTGGGAC